TTTATTTAGCAGTCCATTTACCTCCTGAAATGCACACAGTATAATAATAATGATTTGTATATCATTAACAACATAAATAATTCTGTAATGTATAATGGACAATTTATATGAATCAAATCATGTAATCATTTCATTTAACATTAAATAATAACACAATTAATATTCAAATATGTCATTACATTAATTACAACTATACCATAGCGATCCAAACTGTAAATGATATAATTAATGTTTAGAAATATTAATCAAACATAATAATAATTAACGGGTAATAAAATAATAATTTAATGTCCCGTTAATCCCGAAAATATCAACCCGAGGTCCAAAAATACAAGTTGAAGGTTCTAGAAATTACAAAACAGTCCTTAGGGGTATTCTGGACTTTTCCAGCAGCTGTAGAGGTCCCACACGCGCCCTCACGCGCCTCCCAGTGCCTCCCCACGCGGCCTAAGGTTTCTCACACACGCACGCTCTTACACGCATCTCCACGCGCTTTTGGAGTCAGCCACGCGCGCGCACGTGCTGCCACGCGCGCTCTAATGGTTCCTGCTGACGTGGTGTTTCTTGGTTCGTTGATTGCATGGTCTTGCTATGGGCGCGCTACACTGGATGAATCTACCTTATCTTCACCTAATCCAAAAGTTCTTGATACGGGTGTACTGTAGTAACATGGACTGCGATGCACCGGATCAATCAAATTCAACTAATGGCCAGGATGCGGGTTTACAGTGCGCCGCATCACACCGGATCACTCCGGTCACCTTCCTCACTGCCGGTGGCCGGAAAGCTTGCCGAAAATTTCAGAAAAATTCCGGAAAATTCCAGAAAATTCAAAAAAAATCCCTAAAGTCTTAAATAATTATTTTTAGCTATATTTTAATTACATAGACTAATAAATAAATATCTAACACCCTGATAATTAAAATTTCATTAATTTAATAAACTAAAAATAATAATTTATTAAAATCCTAGCATGCTCTTTATGCTCCAAAATAATCTAAATAAATTAAATAATTAATTTATGGATTTAAAGGAGAAAAGTAGATAATAACTTGCCTTATGGATTTGAAACAAATCCGCCGGTTGCGTGTAGTCGGGTAAAATCACCTACGCCGGTCCAAGCTTCTCTCTCTCTCTTTTCCTTTCACTCTTCTAGAATAACTCACTGTTATTTTTGCTCTTCTACTTACGTGAGTTTTCCTTCAAATGGTAAGTTAGCTAACTATTATATATACTAACTAATATAATATATATAATACAAATATCTAACTTTATATTAAATAGCCAAACATTCCTACCTAAACTAAGTTAATGGAAGGCAATCTAAGTCAAGTTATTTGACCTAAAATTCTACCATAGTAAATTTAATCGTATCCTAATATCAAATTTACATCATGACATTGTTTTATTATTATTATTTAATCTTAATACACTACAATACAAATATAATACTTTAAGAAACTAATATTAATTAATATAAAACATAACCAATTATAATATATAGAGCATCTAATCTATATTACATGTACAAACCAATAATATTAATTTAATAATTTAGCATACACAATTCAAAGGTGAATAAATCTACACATTAAATAATTAACCTAATACAAAATTGATTTAAATAAACTCTTTAAAAATACGGGGTATTACAGGACAACGCCATGAATATTAAACTCTAAAAAGGACCTACCAAAATCCTAACTGCACCTCAAACCCGAACTCAAAATTTTGGCCAAAAACGGGCTCTAATAAGGGGGAAAGATGTGTGTAGTCAAGACAAATACAAAACGTAAAGGCACTATGACTTTATAACAAAAGGAAGGAGGTTTAAATGGGAGGAGAAGAGTGGCAGCCTCCCTTGGGCTGCCATGGGAGCTGCTGGTCGTGCTTGAAGAGAGGAGAATGTGACTTTTTAAATTTTGTAACCCCCTATTTATTGTAAAACCCTAAAAGTGCCCCGAAAGAATCTCGCCGGGTCCGGAAAATTGAAATTTGAGCAAACGCACTCAAACGGCAAAACTCCGTGAACAAAAAAGATTCAAAATGAGAAAATATGAATAACAAAAGAAACGGCGTCAAAAACTGAATCCCGAGCAGAGAAATATGTCCCGAACAAGTTCAGCGGCAATTAGGGGCCAGAAACACTAAAAGTGGGGGAAAACGACCAGAAGTCAATTCTAAGAGTATACAACTCGACAAAAAGTGAAAATGAGTCCCGTACAAGGACCCAAGCTCAAAATGAGACATTTTTGCAATAACTTTCATTAATTGCACAATGGCCCATCCAAAAAGTGAAAACTGCACTAATGACCCAGAATGAAAATATCTTCCAAAAATATTTTCTTAAAAACCCCTGAAATAAAATATTTTCAAAAGATATTTATGAAAAACACTCTAAGAAAAGAAAAAGATTATGAAAAACTGTGCATCCATGCCCCTACGGACACCGGGAGCAACCAGAGTACTTTCTTACAAAAGTAAAGATACGTATTTCGTGGAAACCACTTAGGATGAAGGTACATGAAGTTGAAAACCAACTCCGAGCATGAAAAGTGAGGTTGTGCCAAAAAGTGACAAACGGAGAAAAGACAAAATAGGGAAAAAGACTAAAAGTGAATAGTGTCCAAAAAGTGAAAATGTGAAAATGACGCAGTATTCAAAGGAAGTTGTCAATCCACATGAAAGAGTCTCAGAAACCATTTCTGTGCACTCGAGATGACACTAAGTATCGAGACACAGAACTCAAAAAGGAAAAGACAACGGAAAAAATTTATCCGCAAAATTTGAAGAAAGGGAAAGGAAGGAAAATGATCATATCATTATAGCCACGGTCACCACCACCACCACTTACACGACTGCCACCTTCCACCATTACCACAACTTCCTTCCACCACCACCTTCCACCATTACCACAGCTTCCTTCCACCACCACCACTTTCATTGCCTTCTACGCTCATTACTGCCACCGCCGTTGCCTTCTACCATCACCACCTCCACTGTCTTTTACCACTGTCATTGCCACCATCACTACCTTCTATCACTACTATATCCATCGCCTTCCATACCATCATTGCCACCAGCACCGCCTTCCACCACAAACATTGTCACCACTACTGTCATTGTTATCGCCACCAGTATTGTTGCCTTCTTATTGCACCATTGTCATCGCCACCGCATTTCACCACCATTACCACCACCACCTTCCACTTCCACCACCATTGTGCCCGCCATCCACTGACACCCGCCATTTCTTTTTAAAAAATTAAAGATGAATGTTATTTTGTTAATTTAATATATTTGTCATTGAAAATGATCATTTCATTCCACTCTCGCACACCAAACAACATAAGAGTTGTCATAAACAGTATTCAAGTCATACCTCCACTCAAACTTTTCTTAACATGAGCATTTCAATTGTCAAGAGCCTCATCTAGCCTATATATATATATACACACATACACATGCGTACACACACTCAAGAGGAGTTGAACATTAGACTTGATACTTCTCGAGGCATTAGGCCAAGTGACTTACCCACTTGAATCAACCCTTTAGAGTTTATATATATATATATATATATATATATATATATATATATATATATATTTATATTATATTTATATTGAAAAGAAATTATCATTTTACTAAAAATGCTATTAATCAATTCAAAAATATAACTCTTTGACCTTTGACTTTGACTCGATCTAAGTTGGATAACACTAGAGCCCAATTGTTGATTTTATAAATAAGGGTTAATTTCATTGACACCCCATTAGATTTGGCTAAATATCACATTAAAACACTTTTCGAAAATTACTATCACTTAGGTTTGTATTCTTTTCTTAGCCACTCTCTCCACCGACCAGCCACCATAGATATACACATCTCATTGGGTCAACAAAATTTGATACGCATATCAGGAGAAGATAGAATGAAATTTGGAGTGAAATTTACACAATTAGGAAGAGAGAAAGAGTATGTGTATATATATGTGTGTGTGTGTGTGCGTGTGTATATATATATATATATCAGGTTCTCATGAAAAATTTGAAGAATTTCTCCATCTAAAACAAGTATATATAATGTAATTGTAAATTTGAAAAACATTATGGGATAATTTAGTCTTTTAATATAATTTTTAGGTTTAAAATTTCTTTTGACAAAGTCAAAGGTTAATTGTTTCTTTTTATAGGGTGTCAGAACTCTGCAAGCGAAGGTTGGGGTGTGAATGAAAAACGAAACAAACTTTTGTAATATGAGTGATAGTAATTTTCAAAATGCTTTTTAATGTAATATTTGGCCAAACTTAAGGGGGTGTCAATGAAATTAATCCTCTATAAACAAAAACTCCTTCGAGGGCTTCAAAAGTCTCAAAGTGGCCCCTCTCTGCTATTGTATTAGGATATGTATGATATTACTCAAAAGAATGAAAAATAATATATCTATGAATTTAATAATTTTGTAGGTAAAAATATAAAAGATTATATAATAGAATGAACTATATGAAAATCTAAGGCCTTATTTGAAATGCCTAATGATATTGTTTTTTGTTATATTGTTCTTCAAATTTGGAACTATATCATTTTTGGAATGACTAATATTAGTTGTTCATAACATATTAGCTTTTTTGGCTCAAACTTATATCACTAAATTGGTGATATTGTGTGTTTTGGTGTTGTAGCAGAGAAACAAAAACAAAATTTTGAATTTTCCAAAACGAATTTTCTTTACCAAACATAATTCCAATTTATATCAAAAACACTAACACAAAACAATTGTTTTGGTATTGACAAAAATATATCGCCTAAATCTACAAATTACAATAATTACTTGTACTATATACATTGCTTTATTGTACCATTCACCCTTTTAAGTTTTAAATGAAACAGGCCAAGCCCATGGTCCATCTAATCCATCTCGTTAAAATAATATAGCCCAAGCCCATATAATTCACAAGCCCATTATCCATTTTTGCAATTAGGCAATTCTCTACCCCCGTCTCTCTCATTCACACGACCTAATCTGGTAGAGTATTCCCAATTACGCAAAATCGACGGACGACGACCACCATAGGCCTGGTAACCACCGATCGCCGACCAAAATGCCGACAATACTACTTCGCGGTTGAAATTTAGTCGGTTTCCAAGCAGTTTAAGGTATATCTCTTCATCTTTCTCGTTGTTTTCGCTTTAATTTCTCTATAATATTTGTTTCATGCAATAAGAGTTTGATATGTTAGATGAATATTTGAGTTGAAATGATTTATATACGCATTGAATTGTGTATATTACTTGATCGCAGATATGTCTTTTCAACTTTTCCCATGATATACATGTACTTTGAATAATGTTCATCAATTCATTCCCAAACTCTATTTCTTAATTAAGGGATTAATACATAAATAGAGTTCATATTACTTGATTTCGTTCGATTATTGTCAAATTGAGCTTGATTATCGGTAACGAGTTCGATTGAACACGAATTGAACTCAGACACTCTCTTAAGTTTGACAAGCTGAGCCCGAACACTCCGAAACTCGGCTTGACTCTTTTACACCCCTGGACTTACCCAACCAATTGTTAATTATCATTATTTTATCATTATTTTTGGTTGACACCTTCAGAAGTTGGTTCCAGTCATTTCAAGGGAATTATTGTTTATATATTTAAGTGGTACAAAGGCAATGATGATGATTAGGGTTGCAAATGAACTGAGCTCGAGCCGAGCTTGAGTCTGTTCAGGCTCGGCTTGTTCGAGCTGGAAAACCTGAGCTTGGAGTTGGCTCGTTTAATAACAAAAATAATTCAAGCTCGATTTGAGCTCGTGTTCAAGATCGTTTTGGCTTCTTCATGAATGTATACGAGCCTACCCAAACCTATGTTCATGAGCTTACGATCATTAAGTTATTAACATACATACAAACCTATGTTTATAAACGTATTCATAGTCCTATACGAGGTTATGTTTACGAACATATATGAGCGTACACGAGCCGAGCTCAATGTTGTTCAGGATTGACTCGTTTACTAAACTAGCTAAGAAAACAAGTTTGAGCTCAACTTGTTTACTTAACGAACGAGCTCAAGTCGCGCCTTAAACGGGCTAGTAAACGAGCCTAGAAAACAATTTTGAGCTCGGATTGTTTACTTAACGAACGAGCTCAAGTCGCTTCTTAAATGAGCCGAGCATGAGCTTGAAGTTGCCCAATGCCATTTTCTATGTATAAAAGATATGGATTAAGAATATGCCCAGTAACTATATTGTGTGATTCATTAGGATTTTGTTATTTAGTGGTTATCTTTGAGGAATAGGTTTACTGAATTCAAACAGGTTAAGAAAATATCTCATTTTACGGTAAAACAGTTTTTTCAAACAAAAATTTCAGTCTATGTTTTCGGCAAACAAACCCAAAAAATAAAATAAAAAATGAAGACATGTCTATATTGGGTGTGTCACCATTTTTGGTTAACAAAAGTAGGTTTTTGAAGAAGGCGCTACACTTTTTTTAGAGCATTATTTTTCATGTGGCCGTTGTCTATTCAATAGATTATAGATATGACAACCTTCCTTATTATTATTATTATTATTGTTACTACTACTACTGCTACTACTACTACTACTGCGACTACTGCTACCACTATTTGTACGTTCAAAACTCTATATATAGACTATAAGTAGTTCACATTGTTTCACTTGCATTATTTTACTAGTTCTTTTTTTTTTCAGCACCAATTGTCACAGAAGTTATGGATTCAATTACAAAACGTCGCCTGGTGCATAATGAGAAAGTTAGTGTGGAAGGTAATGAAGACAGGATCAGCAACTTGCCAAGAAGTCTTATAGGCTATATCCTCTCTTTCCTTCCAACAAAGAATGCAGTGGCAACTAGTGTCCTGTCAACCAAGTGGAAGTACCGCTGGACCTCAATCACTACTCTAGACTTTGATGATGGGTTGGTAGTTGTACCTACAAATCCTTCTAAGGATTACAAACGAAGAAAAAGTTTAGTGGTAACGAGCTTCATAAATTTTGTCTACCGAGTACTTACACGCAACGTATCAGATTTGCAGAAATTTCATCTGAGATGTACTCGTTATTAAATTTTGTTCCTACTTTGCTTCATCTACAGAGTCTTAAAATTCTCGTTATTAATTCACTTAGATTTTTGGATGATGGCTCAGTTTACAGGCTGTTTTCTAGCTGCCCTTTGCTTGAAGATTTGTCCATAGAAGAATGTGATTGTAAAAATATTAGTGTTTTTAACATTTTTGCTCCGGCTCTCTAGAGTCTAACTATAATTTGTCGGGTGTGCTTTGATAATTCTGGTATGCCTGGTGAATATGATTCCGATGATGACTATAAGTACAAGTTTGTGCTTAATACACCAAATCTTCAAGAGCTTAAATACAAAGAGGTTGCACCAGAAATCTACTCAGTGAATAAATTAAATGCTTGTGTCAAAGCTGACATTAGTTTCTTTCAAGGAGACGGACGTGTTCATGATGGATCCATGGAAAAACTTGCTATAGCAGAATTTGTTGAAAGAATATGTAGAGTTCAGTGGCTTTATTTATCTGATAATTTGATGCAGGTTGGCTTGCTCAACTCTGCTTCATATTCTTCTTCTTCTTCTTCTTTTCTTTTCTTCTTCATTTTTTCCTCCCCATATTTACTTTTGAGACAACAGGTGCCTGTTACTTCTTCAAATATTAATTGACTTAAGTTCGTTTTCTTTTGGCATCTTTCAGTTTTACAGGTTTCCATTGCCAAAGTTTGACCATTTGACTTATTTGGAGCTTGGTTATCACCGAACTGTTCAATGGAAAATGCTACTGGATTTTGTTCAAAGCTCACCACGGCTGGAAACTCTTATTTTTGGGGTAAAGCACTAGTTTTTATCAAACCTCTTTGTTTTAATGGAAAAAAATTACTTGAGCAATTAAATTGGAGTTGTTACTATTTATATATCTCATCTGATTAGGGACTTGCAAAAGAGGGAAACCAAACAACATCCCGTTGGTATCAACTTGAACACATTCCTTCTTGCTTGTTGTTTCACCTAAAGATAATTGAAATTAAGCAGTTCTCAGCGGATAGTCATGAGCTTAAAATGGCAGAGTATTTCTTGAACAATTCAAGAGTTTTGGAGAAACTTATTATTCATCCTGTTTGTCTTCCTGATTGGGGAAAGTTGGAGATCTGCGAAAAAGTATTGATGTTACCAAGGCGCTCCAGGACTTGCCGAGTTGAGGTTATTTGATATTTCCTCGTGTTACCTTTTTAGAAATTTTATTTTGCGAGCAATTTGTGCTATTTTTGAAGGGAGTGTGCATGGTTAAGATATTATCTCGTTTTATGCTTCCTCTTGTTTATGCTTATAAGAAGTTGAAAAATAGTTTCTTCCATTAAGTTTATCAATAAAAAAACACTTCAACAAAATGGAATCCTAGGGGGCAAGAGGGAGAAGATAGGATCAACCCTAACATAAGATGCTTTTGGGCCTAGTTTTGAGGGGGTGAGAAGAGATAGCTGAAACGCTGATGAAGATCTTTGTTGCTTGGAAATGGTTGGAATTTCATTTTTTTCACTTAACAGAATGAGAGGCACTTGGTCTGATATATGAAACGTCCATTAAACCATGAAACAGTTTCTCAAATCTGTTACGAAGAGCTGTCCAAACAATTCAAAAATGGATCTCTATAAAATACAAAGGTTGGTGGATTAGGGGATGCTTTAAGAGGGTCAACAAGAAAGAAAAACAAAATAATAATAATAATAATAATAAATGCAGAGGTGGCAATTCGAAAGTAATCCCAAACAGGGCCATAAATGATGTTATAGAGAATTTCTCATTTGTAAAGTTGCTTTTGTTGCTCATACCATGATTTTCATGGGATACTGCAGTTTTCCTGTACATTATTAACTAGTAAAGAAGAAGATGAAAGGTTTGTTTGGTCTCTATTCCATTTTTAACTGATCTCCTTCTACACGGGCTGGAATATCCTGAATTTTTATTCTTTTCTTTTGAGCATAAATCTGCATGTTTAGTTGAGTTGGTTTACTGTGAATATTGCATGTTTATTTTAGAAAAAGGAAATCTCATATCAAGCTTTATAGGACCAAAGGAAAGAAAAAGGAAAAAAAAAAAAAAAAAAGTCTGCAAACTTCAAAGCGTTACAATTCAGATAGGGAATTTTCTTATTCTAAATTCCATATAGAAATTCATTATTTAACTTTTAGATTATTGTCCTAATTACATTGTTCATGCATAAATATTATATCTTCCATTGTTTTATGTTAAATTGAGTTGTTAAATTATATGAATTGAGATTGCACTTGACTTAATTGTTAACCTATCTGAATTTTGAAATGAAATGTGATATATGTGTATTTGGTTGTAATTCAAATGTTATTTGAATGAAAATTATTATGATGTTGAAATCACTGCAGGTTCTATATATGTTTATTGATGTGAATCAAATTTGTAGTTGATATGAAAGACGGTTTGTATCTTAGGTTGACATGAAATGAAACTGAGAAATTGTACAGACTGTGGTATTGATAATTTAATGTGGGGCACCGTCGCAGGGTTAAATAGTCCCCAAAAGGAAACGAAGACTCACACGAGGGGCACAGTCCCAAGGTAAATGGTTCTGAAAAGGTTTTGAAGATAAATAAAAATTTTGAGGGTTAGCAAAAATATAAAGGAGCCTGATGAGGGTCCTACAGGTTTAATTGATAACCAGGGAGTATGTCCTTGAATCATAACTTTCTATTTGGAGTTATTGTTTATATTCTGATTTAGTTTGCTAAATGTTCATTGTTCTCTATTTATTTTTGTTTTGCATATTAGGCTGTTAGAAATCGGAAGTGTGTTACTTCTCTATTGGCTAACCGTATATTTTCCTCCTCCCAGGTTCTGCCTGAGATGGATGATGAGGATGAGGATGACATATTTGTTCCCGACCCATAGCCTAGAACCAGAGGAGTATTTGTATATTTTTCTGTGTGTATGTATATATTGGCTTTTGATTTTTAACAGATTGATGTAAGAAAGATGGAAATACTTGTAAACCTACACTCGTTTTAGTCGTGATTAGGATCTAATCCTAATCAGTCAATATAATGTAAAACCATGCTGCTAGCTAATTTCTTTTCTTTTTTATCCCTACTGCTAGTGTAAAACGCCTACACCTGTTTTTGTCGTGATTAGGATCTACCCTAACCGGTAAAATTTCCACCCACAGTTTCCTCCCGTTAGACCTGGTTGTCTCTCAATTTAGCGTTCCTGTAAGTTCAAGGTAGAGATAGTTTACCGGTAAAGCTTTGATCTCACGTCTTAAAAGTCGAGAATATTCACCCATGTAAAATCATTTGACGTCTTAGAAATTGAGAATTCATGTTACCTTTGTGTTACTTTCGGGAAATTTTTCAAAACATATAATGTAAAATCATGCTGCTAGCTAATTTCTTTTCTTTTTTTTTTTATCCGTACTGCACGTTGAACGCGCCTACACTCGTTTTAGTCGTGATTTGCATGTATCCTAACTGGTAAAATATCCACCCATGGTTTCCTCCCGTTAGACCTGGTTGTCTCTCAATTCAACATTCCTGTAAGTTCATGTAAGTTCAAGGAGGTGTAATTTATTGGTAAAGTTTTGATTTCACGTCTTAAAAGTTGAGAATGTTCACCCATGATTTCCTTCAATTAGACCCGATCATCTTAAGCGGTGAGGTTTTCATTTCACGTCTTAGAAAATGAGAATTCAAGTTACCTTGGTGTTACTCTTGGTAAATTTTTCAAAAAATATAATGTAAAATCATGCTGCTAGCTAATTTCTTTTTTTTATTATTTTTTTTATTTATTCCTACGGCTAGTTGAACACGCCTACACTTGTTTTAGTCGTGATTAGGATCTATCCTAACCGGTAAAATATCCACCCATGGTTTCTTCCCGTTAGACCTGATTGTCTCTCAATTCAGCGTTCTTGTAAGGCTGTAGGTTCAAGGAGATGTAGTTTACCGGTAAAGTTTTGATGTCACGTCTTAAAAGTTGAGAATGTTCACCCATAATTTCCTTTAATTAGACCTGATCATCTTAAACGGTGAGGTTTTCATTTCACGTCTTAGAAAATGAGAATTGATATTACCTTGGTGTACTCTCGGGAAATTTTTGAAAAATTTTTTAAAAAATTGCGTTGTGCATATGAGACGGAAGAATGGCAAGTGTCGAATGGTAGATTATAGGATAGTTCTCTAAATAAATAGTAAGCTATGATTAAGTATAACATGCCACCCTAGTAGGTACATTTTAATATAATAGTGGCAAAAGGTTAGTGGTAACAACTTGATGGCAAATAATTTAGTATAATTGTGGGTTCAAAACCAGTTGGCAAGGCAATTTGTCATCATAAAAAAGAAGGTAAGTGGCTTACACGGAAATTTAAGAGATGATTGGATTGAGTAACAATAAAGTCACCATTAATTAAACAACAATATATGTGTGTGTGTGTGTGTTTTTCTTTCTTTTTGGGTAAGCAAGATAAATTATAGACAATGCTTGATGTTGGCCCAAGCAAATGTTAATTCTTTTATTCAAAAATTTAAATATTATTAAAAGGATTCTAAAATAGATTAAAATTGGGTCTCAAAAGTTTTTGCTGGTTTTGGCCATTCTTTGATATCTTAGAAATTTTGATGATTAAATTTTGGTTAATCATCAAAATTGGAGAGAGAGGGGCATTGAATTTTCAAATGGTTTCCTTTGAGACCCGGTGCAAATAAGAAAAACTATTATACTTTTTGTACTTTTATTAGTAACATATGAACAAAATAATATTTTAAAGCCTTTTAAGAGTAGTATCGAGTTTTAATTAAATTTTGAGCATGACATCAACACACAAGAATATCAAAATTTACAAATTTGAAGATCATTGTTACTGAAACAAATGTATTGAAATTAGAAGGAAGATCCTTGTTATTAGCAATCTTCTAATAGGATAGGAGGGAAGTATTTTCCAAAAAAATAATCTTCCAAAATTCTAACAGCACATTGTAAAAAAATTCACCCAAATTAAATAGGAACAATAGAGTGGTTTCATTTAGGTGATAACATGCCCCAAAAATCATTTTTTGATACAAAATATAATATGGGGCCCATTCAATGTTTGACTTGTGTTGGTCTTTATCTATATTTCAGCAAAGCATTTTATATTGAGTACGTTCTGGTTCTCCTCCACCAAATCCTCTAGCTTCATGCTTACTTCTCAAAATGTGTCTAAAATAGTCAACTAATAATATGTAAATGTCAAACACAAAACTACCAGCATCCATCCAAAATTTTACCTAATTTTGACCAAAAAAACAAGTAATTTGACGTGGTTTTTCCACCCAAATGTTCTTAAATTCGAATCAAACACTAATTCGTGAAGAAATTTTCAAAGATCAATTATTTAAAATTATCATATACGTCTTGTTTTCCGAAAATGGGGAAATGAATTTGGCCACTTACCAAACATTTTAATCAAAATGGTGTTATACATTCTTCCCAAAAGAGTAAAACTAAAATCAAGCACCGAACAACTAAAAATTTACTAGTGAAGCGAAATCAAGTATTGAACAAAATTATCATTTTTTTTTAATTAACCTCCATTGATAGAAATTATTTATTTATGTATATATATCATAGTTCGTCGAATCGGTCAGTTCGTTGTTCAGTCGGTTTATATCGATATTCGTCCGATTTCGTTACACCGTGATCACGATCAATACCGTGATTGCCAACTATGATACACACACACACACACACACCCACACACCGTGGTTTGTAGTCACGGTACTAATTGCGATATCGGTCTCAATCGTGGTGTAACAGATAACATCGGTGTAAACAGATTAAATCAGTCAATTTATAAAGATGTAAAACAATATCGGACATTTAAAAAAAAAAATTACGAATCAATCGATGCATCGAATATAGATCGAAAGAGCGAATCATGATATACACAACTAAGAGAATCAATTTATTTATTTTTTTAGTTGTAATCGAGTGAGAAAGTCAAGAGACATACTTATGCCCCGGCCAAACACTATCTCTAAATTAGTAGGCGATATTGATTTGCAAGTACTAAAACGAACAAAGACGTCGTGATCAACACAACGTTTTGTAACAAACTTACAAATATGTGGTATGTAGCCTGTCACATGGGATGGCACATGCCATGTGGAATCATTGGGTTCCATCGAATATATATATATATATATATATATATATATACACACACACACACACACACATATATATATCGTATATAATATCATAACGTGGAAATGTAGTAACGCGTTGATATCAGCACCGGCTGCACCGCCAAATTCTATCACCTTAATCTAAGACCACCTCAATTGCATTACACCATCTGGAGGTTCACCTAACCATGTGAACCCATTGAAAACTCTCTCTCTCTCTCCAATTATCATTGACGGTGTCTATACATTTGCAATATCAGGCGTTTGCATTTGTCATTTCATTTCTTAATACATGTGATGTTGGGATGATTGATGATGTTGATATATGTATACCCACTTTGTTTAATTTTTGCTCCGACTAGCACATGATGTTATGATTTAAATGATGTTGAAATTCATATACATTTGATTTAATTTTTGCTGCAACTAGTACATGATGTTAAGATATAACGTTTGATATATATATATATATATATATATATATATATATATATCAATGGGTCGTTAACCAAGTATAATCACTCCTCCGTGATGAAGAGTTCGAGAGAGATAATAGACAATTTGTGAAATGAGCAAGTGGAGTGTATGTTATATAAGAGTAAATACATATAGATATATGAAAAAAGCAACAAAGAGCTGCGCAATGTTTTTTCATCCGAAAATAATTTTTAGATCAATTACTTAAAGCGAATTTTTAAACTTATATATTGTATTTGGTCAAATTATAATTAAGTGGAACCCGGACTTGTGTAACAACCCTCATCGTATTCAGATATAATATTGTTCGTTTTTGGATCAGAGACTTTTCGAGAGGTCACCTATCTTGATACTATTCCAGAATAAACAAGCTTAACTTTGGAATTTTGATGAGTTTACAGCCATTACGTCTTTAAAACGCGTTAATTGTAAACACTAATTTATATGTATTATGGCTCCGTCTTTGCCTTCCTCAGATAATGTGGGATCATAAGATCACAACACCTTGTAACCTGTTAGTGTGGAATCATGAGATCGTGACACCTTATAACCTATTAGTGTGATAACTCGTCCGATGTCTCGCACCCGTCCATATCACACTTTGCTCACAGAGATCGTCATAACTTGTAAGTTACAGAATTCATTCTAACGGATCGACCTAAGTATCACGACTCTTTTCTACCATGTATGTTTTAGAGTCTTCAATTGTTTATTCTAATGATAATTTGCCATATAAAACAAATATTTAGGTTGAAGTGTCTAAATGAATTATTTGACCTATAATTTTTTATGATTTTACCAAATATAACTATTCCACTTCCTTATATTTTCATGCATGATAATTTTTTTTTATTGAATATAAAAAAATCATGATACATCCTCCTAATTCAGAAGCTTGAATGAATGGAATGTGAGAGCACTGAGACATCAGTGGTTCCCACCCTACCACGCGAGATCAGTCCCCCCGCCCCCGCGAGATCCCCCCTCCACCGGTGCACACGACATCAGTGGTGGGGGCCTTCATTTGAAATTCTCCAAATTTAGAGAATATATTTTTCCAATGTACACTTCTTTTAATTATTACAAAAAATTAGAGATAAGTTCCTAGTGTCTAAACTAAGATAAAAATACCAATTTTTACAACAATTTGAATTCATTTCAACCTTCAATAAAAATCTCAAAAAATTTGTCTAACTTCCTATAATAGTAAAAAATGTAACTTGGGATCTTAAACGATTGAATTTAGTCAAATAAATAAATAAAAATAAAAATTTGTAGCGAGATAGTGGAATATGACGGGAACAAACTATTGATTATTGCGTCGTATACAACCAAAGATATGTATATGTCAAAACAACATTCACGAAATTTAATTATTTGGATTTCAAATTAAAAAATTTAGTTTCCATACTTTGGTTCATGAAGATTGTGTATGCATGTCGGTTGCCATAGTTGAACAATTGAATAGCAACAACTCAACAAGAGAGGTCAGCTTCCTCAGACAGCTCACATACATGGGATGTGAAGAAGCCAAAATTAAAGAGTTCCTAAAACAAGAAATTTGAAACTCAAAATGATATTATTCTTAATATGTCGGCATTTATTTGTTTGAATTTAATGCATGCATACATACATACATACATACTTTGAAATATTTGTTTGAATTTAATGCATGCATACATACATACATACTTTGAAAACAAAATTCAATAAACAATTACATAGAACATACCACTTGTTCTTCAAGTCACTCGAACTTGATTTTATGCCGAAATGGAATCTTATGATATTTTTACTTCGTGTTTTTTCTTTATATTAGGTTTGTTGTCATTTAAGTAGTACCTAACGTTTTTAAAAATAGGTCAAAATTATAAATATAAAAATTATGTTTTTGATCGCTTTTTTAGGACATCTATAATCGTTGTGTATATTTTTTTATTTATATATATCATAATAGATTTACACAAAAATTTTGAATTATTTATTTTTAGCTCCAACATTGTTTTATACAAAAATATATTCCCTAATAACAACCCACCAATGTCATGCTTGGACCTTATATAATTTTTACAAACTTACTTCATATATAGTTGATTTGTTAATGGAATAATAAAGAGGGAGGAAAAAAGAAATACGCTGAACCAAATATGTGTAAAAAGGTTGCATAAAATATATAACAATTTTACACATTGGTGATGTGGTAGTGTTTCTTAACAGACTGTTGGAAATATTTTACACAAAAGAGTGTTTTAACAAATTGCTGGAGATGCTCTTAGGCAGTAAAAACACTGTCAATTTTTTTTTTTCTTTCTAAAATGACATTTTTAACTAGTCATTTAATTTTTCAAACTTGGATCATTTTTTACCAAATATGTTTTTTGTGTTTTTACTCTAAAAAATCTATCAACAAATTTATGTTACAAAATAAATTTTGAAATAATATTAAACACACTCTAACATAGAAATATTGTTTCTGATCAAAATAAAAACACAAAGAAAAAACAATTGGCAAATGGGCATAGTAAATGAAACAAGTGAAGTAGAAATTTTCTTACTTGTTTTTGGCCTTTCCCTTTCAAAACAAAATATCAAACAAAATGGGTGTATATAACTTGGCAAAGAAAAAAAGAGGGTAAATTACACTCGAATAAACAGTTTAACGTTTATTATTTTAACTTTCCCTAAAACCATTGGCCAGTTGTTAAAAGTAACTTTGTGTGTGAAAATTACACAGTAATAGACCGTTTATAACGTTTATTATTTTTACTTCCCCTAAACTCGTTCGTCCATTGTTGAAAAGTGACTTTGAGTGAGAAAATCAATAATACTCTTATATAATAATAATATAATATATTACATTTTATATAACAAAAGGGCAAAATTTTTATTTTTCAAAAATTGATTAACAAGTCTTCCAGAAATAAAATGATAAAGGTATAGTCGAAGACAAAGTTAAATCTCATAATAGGTTAAAGTAATAAACGTTGTACGATTTATCTATGTATAATTTGTCCAAATTTAAAGAGAGAGATCGTTATAATTTATCTCAAAGAAATAAATATATGTGTATATATATAGATCAATCCAAATTTTAATTTCTTGGGTAAACAAAAAATTTATCACTCAAAAGAAATTACAAAATTATTTATTTAATCATGCATTGGTAGAATGAGCTTTTCCAAAAGTAATATATAATAGCATTTACTTTCTAGGTCACAGAATTTTTAACCACGCTTAGGGGAGCTTTCCTAAAACAAGATCATAATAAACTTTTCCTTTTCTCATTTCAAATAGTACAATAAATTATATACATAAAGAATAGTTGTGTGGCATTGCCCAAGCAAAGAATAAAATAAAGTAAACAACCAAAATGTAGTGTCGGTGACATGTATTTCGATTTTCTTATTTATTTCTATATTCATTTAAATAAAAGATTAATAGAAGTCTAAGTAGACCTAGTCTCAAATTTTTTTTTTTTTCATTTATTTAATGATCTTTCCTTTTCATGGACGTACAAAGAGGTAAAAGGTTGGTTTCAAAGTCATTATCGAGTATTATGTTAGACTTTTTGAAGAGAATTAATTTTGATAATCATGATTTGCAACGACCAAGATCATCATTGAACGTTTCGTAAATTTGACTGCATTTAATGGTATATAGTATTTTTGAAAAAAAAAAAATTTATAATTCAATTGGACTAAATAAATCACTTTTCAAATAACGGGCAATATGTTTCACCCTTATATTTGGTTCAATATCAAAATATTTGTTTTCTTCCTTGGTAACTCCACAATGATTAATAAATTTTCTTCAATCATTCAATTTATTTTTTTTCTTTTTTCTTTTTTCTTATATATAACATGAAATTTTCATAATATGTTTCTTACTAACATTTTTTTTTTTTTTTTTGGTCAATCAGACTAACTTCAAATGTCACTGGATCATATTTTCTTTGGTGTTATTAAGCCAACTTATTAATGTTTGAATTTGACCAGCATTGATCAATGACAATCTACAACATGGATGCTTACGTGGCATTTCATGATTAGTGGAACTGACCCTTCCTTAACAGTCTCTCTATTGTAACAGTTTGAAAAGCTTTTGCCAGCATAGTTTTAGCTCACCATTGTAATAAAAAATAAAAATCCCAAAATGTCCTGTTCTGCATATAATTCTTTTACCCAATCGATTGACATTCTTGACAGAGAAAGAGACAATGTCTAGAGAGAGAAAGTGAGAAACAGGAGGATTGTGTAGAGAGAGAAAGCAAATGAGATGAAGGAACCTTGAAGGTGTAGTATATAATAAGAACAAGAAACAAGACAGCTAAGGCAAGAGTCACTTTATTTAAAGCTTTTAGCTCTCTGTATACTTGTGTGTGTGCAGAGTCTAGACTTCTCTCAGTTATTGTCCCCCATAACCTCTATATCATAGGTGAGAGAGAAATCTCTCTCTCATCGACCTGGTTTGAGTTGCTGAAACAATTTGGTTGTCCATTTGTAGGACACATTGAGTGTTCACAAATTGTCTGTTATCAGAAGCTGAAATATATCAATCTATCTATACACAGAGAGAAAAAGGTACTACTAGCTTGATTGTTCTCTGCTCTCATCATCATCGTCTCTCACTGTTCTGTTTTTCTGTGTACCTCTTTCTTTCTCTGTCAGATCTCATTCACTGCATTCTGTTGTTACATGTACAATACTTCATCTCTCTCTCTGTTTTCTTGATTTGTTGCTCAATTTGCTTTAATCCCAAATGGGTTTCTTTAATTTTGCAGAAAGGATCTGATTTTGAAATGGGTTCAAAAAGAAACTTACAGTGGGTTTATTCAGAAATATATATATATATAGTTATTGCTCAATTTGCTTCTTTCCAAGTGGGTTTTCTTTAATTTTGCAGAAAAGATCTGATTTTGAAACGGGTTTCCTCCAATTCGATTCTACTTTCCTTAGTTGATTTAGCTTTAAAAAAAAAGAATTAAAAATTTGGAAACTTACAATAGTTTATTGACGAAAAAAATTAATTTCCATATTTAGTTCCACATATGTTTTCATTACTTTCCTGTTATTTTCATTCATTACATATAGATATTTGTGTGTGTAGATTTAGAATTATTTTCTATTATTTGTTCAAGTTGCTGCACAACATATTGTGGGTTATTCAGAAAAAGAAAAATTGAATTTTCATAGTTTTCCTGTTCTTCTCATTCTTTTATATATATTTATATACGACGGTGAGTAGATTAACTTTTTTTTTTTTTTTTTTCTTTTTAATACTTAATTGCTTAATTTGCAGCACAACTTGTTGGAATTTTATGCAATTGTTTGGTGGGTTTGGTTTGGAACTATGTGCTTCTTCTTTTTTTCTCTCTCTTTTTCTCGGTAAATTGCGCTTAAAAAAGGTCAATTTGCTATTGGAATATTTAACAGTGTATCTATCTAATAATTGCGGTTTTTCTTCGGTTTGAAGGAAGAAAACTTGAGTTAATTGCGCACTAAAACACACACAGTATGTGTATATTTTTCTCTTTTCTGCATGGTTAGGTATGAGATTGATTGGTCTCTTTCCATCTTTTCTGACTGACTTTAATGGCCAAGAGGTCCCTCAATTAGGGTGGCTGAATTTCATGAGTTGGGCCCAAAAATATCATGTGAAAAACATAAAAGCATGGTGACATGTAAAGTGAGACTTGTGGGTAGTTGTTGTCAGATCCTCTTCTAGTTTTTACAGGTTTTTATAGTTTGTTTTCATGGACTGTTTTGACCACCAGATCTTCAATCCATCTTTACTATTCTTCTTTCCTAGATGATCTTGGTTTGTTGAGATTCAGGTCTTTAATTTTGTTTATTCCATGAAATTAATTAATGGGTTTTGTTTAATCAAGTATATTTAATCATCTGTGTGTGTGTTTGTGTGTGTTAAAGTTCTGAAGTTGTTACCTAGATGTCAGTTTCTTCTTCTAGAGTGTGACTTGTCTGGTCTTTTTCAATGGTTATGTAATTAAATATTTGATTATCAGTCAAGAATCAAGACAACTTCTGTACTTGTTTCAATTCATTCAATTTATTCCTTCTATGATTTGTCTCTGATTGCCGAGAGGACACAAGTGACTGTTATAAATATTTGCAAAATTTTGATCTTCTGTTGTATGCTCTTTTGACAATTCACATGAAATTTATATTAGATTTTCGTTCTTACAACTTGTGTTGCATATTGTGCAGATAGTTGATTAAAATTGGGACCATGAAGCATAAAGATGGAAAACCAGCTATTCATCCCGACAAAACCTCAAGAATAGTCCCCATGACAATAATGTTTGTTGTGCTATGTGGATTCTCGTTTTATCTCGGAGGAATGTTCTGTTCGGGGAAAGACAGATTGGTTGCTAATGAAGTTGTCAAGGCAGCCAAATCTTCGAAGGAACCGGCTACTAGTCCAACTACAGGCTCTCTCCAAGTGAAGCCAGTTGCTTTCCCTGAATGTGGTAGTGACCATCAAGACTACACTCCGTGCACAGATCCAAAGGTATTTCCAAATTTCTGGTGTCAAAATTTGAAGGCTTTGTAGTATATAGTATTGAATTGTGTAGATAGCTGACATATCTTTATTTTTGTTTCAGAGATGGAGGAAGTATGGTCTTCACCGGCTTACTTTTATGGAACGTCACTGCCCTCCGATATTTGAAAAGAAGCAGTGCTTGGTTCCTCCACCAGATGGGTACAAGTCGCCAATCAAGTGGCCTAAGAGCAGGGATGAGTGTTGGTACAGGTACTTTGGCATGTTTTTAATCTTGTTTTTGAAGGGTTCTTATTTTTAGCTTGATTTGAATTGCTCGGCCTTATAAATTAACTGTTGTCTATTTCGGATCTGGCTTTAGAAATGTGCCTTATGATTGGATCAACACCCAGAAGTCTAATCAGAACTGGCTTAGGAAAGAAGGGGAGAAGTTTCTCTTCCCTGGTGGGGGTACTATGTTCCCGAGGGGTGTTGGTGCCTATGTTGATTTGATGCAGGATCTGATCCCGGAAATGAAAGATGGGACTGTCCGAACTGCCATTGATACTGGATGTGGGGTGAGTTTCATCTTATTATCTTGTTTATGTGATTGAGTATATATAAAATAAAATTCTTGCCGGTTTGCAATTCTATAATGCTGATAGTTTGCTGACTACTATATTCAATTCAGTCACTGAAAAGTTAAACTATCGTTCAGTTCATTGGAACTGATGATTTATTTTTGCTCTTCGAAATTCGTATGATCTTTGGAAAGATGATGGACGTATCTAATTTGTATCTCATTCACAAACAGCTAAATTAGATAGACGAGGCAATCTGCACAATTTATGCTTGATGAAAGAATTATGCTAAGCAAATAATAGTAATAATGCTGTTGGAAAGTCCCAATATTGTATCTTAAACAATAAAGGTAGTTATTTGTAAAAAAATTTATAAACTTGTTGTTTGATGTTTGCAAATATTTTGTGCATAGGTTGCCAGTTGGGGAGGTGATTTACTGGATCGCGGGATTCTAACAGTGTCTCTTGCACCTAGAGATAACCATGAAGCTCAAGTCCAATTTGCTCTGGAACGTGGGATTCCTGCAATTCTCGGCATCATTTCAACACAGCGGCTTCCTTTCCCTTCGAACTCATTTGATATGGCTCATTGCTCAAGATGCCTTATTCCGTGGACTGAATTCGGTAACTACTCTCTCTCTCAAAGCATGCTTACTGTTTACTTTAGACAAAACTGCACAATCAACCACGCGGTGGGAGTAACAAATTATATGTTTTTCTCTCTCTTTTAATTATGGGATTATAGAAAAAATGAAACATCCAATTTTGAATGCCTTAAATAGATACATTTACATCTATCCTCCTTAAAAAACTTTATATTCAATAGCAGCACACGATATAGTTCTTTGGCATCTCTCATTTATGTGTAAAGTAAAGAATATCTTTTACTAAATTCCTCCATCTGATATGGAGTTTATAGTTAACTATGCCGTAGGGAAAAAAAAACGTGTATAAAATCCGTTGCTAATTAGATTTCTTCGATTCTGTTTTTCAAAATTTTGTGTGTGCTTTATAGATTACAATTTCATTACCATTATATTATTTTCGAACTTTACCACTGTATGAACTAGTTGCAAGTGTACTTGTTGAATTCAGGGATCTCCTGCCTCTGTTCAAAATTTTGTTACCACTAGGCATTTTTCATGAATGGAATCACCATTATTTTCAGGTGGTATTTACCTTCAAGAAGTACACCGTATACTTCGTCCTGGAGGCTTTTGGGTTCTTTCTGGTCCTCCTGTGAACTATGAAAACCGGTGGAGAGGATGGAACACGACTGTGGAAGAGCAGAAATCAGATTACGAGAAGCTGCAAGATTTGCTCACTTCAATGTGCTTCAAATTGTATAACAAAAAGGATGACATTGCAGTGTGGCAGAAATCTTCAGATAACGACTGCTATAATAAGCTTAGCCCAGAGACCTACCCACCCAAGTGTGATGATGGCACCGAACCAGATGCAGCATGGTACACTCCACTTCGGCCTTGTGTTGTTGTTCCAAACCCGAACCTTAAGAAACTAGCTTTAGATTCAATCCCTAAATGGCCAAAGAGATTGCACGTTACACCTGAGCGCATCTCAGATGTTCATGGTGGCAGTGCTGGTACTTTCAAGCATGATGACAGCAAGTGGAAAGTGCGGGTGGAGCATTATAAGAAGCTACTTCCTGCAATCGGGACAGATAAAGTAAGAAATGTGATGGACATGAATACAATTTACGGAGGTTTTTCTGCAGCTGTGATTGATGATCCTTTGTGGGTCATGAATGTGGTGTCTTCCTATGCTGCTAACACACTTCCTGTTGTATATGACCGGGGCCTCATTGGAACCTACCACGACTGGTAAGTCCGAATGCATTTATAAACATAATTAAGCTATGAATCTATAAACCTCGTTGTTTGAATGGCACTAGGTGCACATTGTTAAGTTATTTATGTTTTCTGTTTACAGGTGTGAAGCTTTCTCAACATATCCACGAACATATGATCTCCTTCACCTCGATGGCCTCTTTAGTGCTGAAAGCCATAGGTAAGGGTTTTTCATCTCCTTACTTTCTTCAGTTGATCTATGCATAAATTTGCTTAGTCATTTACTTTAACATACTGAAAGTGTTAATAAGAACTCTTTCGCCTGGAACTATTGGAGTGCTAAACAGGCTATATTAGTCCTTAGAATACAAAAATTGAAACAAATTAGCTATTTGTTTCATGAATCACCGAAGTCAAGAAATAAAGCATTAGTACTTAATGTTTAGAATTGTACTTTATCCGTAAGAAAGCTTACGAATTGTGAAACTAACCACACTTCTCCATGCTATGTAACTTTTCTGTTTTCTATACTAATGGACCGAGATGACCTAGGAAATGGTGCAGCTCATCGGTCACTGCAGCTAGTTCTTGCTGAAGAGCAATGACATACAATGTTGCAGCCTGCATGACATGTCCATATATATCATTTTTTATCTTAACTTAATACAAAAATACCTAAAAAAAGATAAATTAAGTCAGAAAGAGCGAACACAACTATTACAATAAAATAGAGTCAAATAGAGGTGATATATTCATTCTCATAGTGACCGGCAAATACATGTGGTTCTAACATTAATTATGTCTTGGGCAGATGTGATATGAAGTTTATGCTCTTGGAAATGGATCGGATACTGCGCCCTAATGGGTATGCAATAATCCGGGAATCCAGCTATTTTGTGGATGCTGTTGCTACCATCGCCAAGGGGATGAAATGGGGGTGCCGTAAAGAAAGCACAGAGTATGACATGGAGAAGGAGAAGGTATTGATTTGCCAAAAGAAACTTTGGTATTCCTCTAAGCAGAGCTCAAGATAAAGAAAACACAAAAAATTCAAGTTCTGGTGACAAGCCTCTTGCTGGGATGAGTTATATTTATAATACAAGGCCTAGGACAAAGAAGTAAGTTCCACACAGCTCATAAAGAGATTTGATTTTTCCATAAGAATCTTGCAATTCAAAATTTATCAATTGAAAAGTTATTTAGCCAATAATCTTATTTTGTTATTTTTTAGTGCCTTCTGATATAATGTATTCTTTCGCAAGGCATACCGGGAAATGTCCCATTCATTGTTGGGTTTTTCCTCTTTCCATTTGTTGTTTACTCTTTCACTAAATGTTCGTTAAATCCGGATGTGAAATATATATGTAAGGGGTTGAAAAGTAATACCAATTACAGGGCTTTAATTTTTATGTAACTAATGAAATTTGGTCCATTCATTATATACTGCAATTGTTTGTTTGCCCATCTTTTCATTTATGTCACATGTTTAGGTTTTTGTTTGCAAAATGATCTCACTCCAATCACGGTAATAATAATAATTTTATCTTCAATTTTGATATTTTGATGTGGTATGGATGGTTTGAGGTTGAAGAATTGGAGTTGCCTTTCAAGAAACATAGCTGCTTTTATTTTGTCTTTGAAGGTCACCTTCTTGCCCGTGGTTTGTAATGGTGAAGATATGGTACCTTTTGCAAACTTGCCAATTTTGTCTAATGGAGTGTTTTAAAAAACTAAATTAGTGGTTGTGGTATCATCATTGTAAAGCAGTATTTAAAATAAATTTCACTTTCAAGGAAGAAATATATAGGGATTCTTGTTCACAGATTCCGTTAGAAACGGCATGTCGTGAATAAGGACCAGCCTGAGTGTTATATGCCACAATATATAATTATCAATTTTACAATTTTCTGCTAAATTTTTGTTAGTTTCCGCGCCAATTGAAGATGCAAGAAATTTGTTCCCCTCCTTCTCTCTCTAGAATTCTTACACCTCAACTTCAAAAAGATCCCCCTCCTTTCCATTCCTTATCCTATTTATAGATATTTACAAGATATTTACTGATTGCTGGATCTGGGCCTATTCCTCCATAAGTCCTGGTCACCTTTGATGGGCTTACTCGCGTTCGGCCCATATGGCAGTGTCTTTATATGGGCCGACTCAGCTGTACGGACTGAATGTAGTGTTTGCAAGTCGGATCCGGCCCATGTCGTCCGGGGCCTCCTCAACTGCCCCCATAATTGCCCCTTATTTAATAAGGGGTAATTATTGATGGCGTCTCATCATGATGTTGACGGCTCGAGATAACCACGTGGGGGAACGGACGGTCAGATCCAGAATCAATGCTCCGGGACTCGAGGAATTTCTCGCCTTCCCGACGCTTCGGCCCTCGGGCCCCCTCGCCTTTATAATGCTCTAGAATTCCACTTCACGTCCTTTTACCGTCTCCATCATCAGTCAAGTCTCTCTCTTTCTAGAACAGTGCTAAGCTTTTTCTGGTGAAATCCTTCAAGAGTCATTCTTCCAGCGATCTTGCAGTCCTCCGAGGTTAGTTTCGTTCTTTTTTACTTTCGGCAGGCTTCCATTTACCCCCTTTTAGATTCTTCAAGCACTTCCACCATGGTTGTAGATCTGGATGTTCTTCATATGAGACTTAGACTTCCTGACAACATCGAAGTTAGGGTTTGCCCCCAGGACGTTAACATTATGACCGGCGCCGGCCTCCTGCCCGGCGAAGTCTTATTCACAAATCTTCAATTGAATGTTGTTAGGTTCCCTCTGCACCCTTTCTTTAGTTATGTCTTCAATAGATTGGGGATATCCCCTCTGCAGGTCAACCCCAACTTCTTTAGAATCATATCTGTTATGCTCTTGTTGATGCGTGACAGAAATCTGGACCTTGACCTCATAGACCTCCTTCTGTGCTATAAGGTCAGTAAGATCCGTACTAACGAACCCTTCTACCATCTCTACCCGTTCGAGAAGATGTCCATATGTACGGACACAATAAAATCTGAGAAGGGTTGGAGGGATAGCATCGTGGGCATTAGTGGGGCTTGGTCTTCGCCGGCTGCAGAGGATTACCCAATCCCGAGCGCCTTTGGTGTCTGTTCTGTCTCCTCCTATAAGAAATTCAAATCTCATAAACATGACTGCCCCTGCGAAACATGCGTTCCTCGTTTTTGCACTTTCTTATGCCGTTCCTTAGGAATACCTTGTGATGACTTGAGCTATAGTGTTTGCAGGGATAGGAGTAACTACTTGAAGAAATACGTTCTGAACGATATTCCTTCCTGCTCAGATCTCCTCACTTCAGACAACCTCTTAGCGCTCTCATCACTCGGCTACAACATGAGCAGACTTCAGATTCCTTCTTTTGGCAGGAAGAAAAATACTCCCCCAGCCACTCCTGCTGCTGGGGTGACCTCCTCTCCAGCGTCAGCTTCTTCCTCAGCCACCATCTCTGACACTGTCCCGAGCACAGTGGCTATTAACCCTGTTGCCAGCGCCCCTGCTGCCAACCAGAGCGCGTCCCCCCAAGCTACCATAGCTCCTGCTGCTGCGGGGGGCGGTCGGGACAAAGAACGAGGCAAAAGGCCTCATCCTGACAGTGAAGTCGATCCTGAAGAGGAGCCTCTCATTAGAAGGACCCGGGTCTCCGGGCCGGGTACTCTCTTGCACTGAGCGATCAGAGCTCCTTGTCACGGGCCTAGAGATTTGGCGCAGCGGCACGGCCCGTGCGGCACCAAGGCGTTGCTTCAGCTCGCGCAAGCGCCCTAGTCAGCCACCACGACCTGCCCTCCCAAGGATACATGCTGACTGGTTTCGGCCTGCCATGGCCTTGTCAGGGGAACGGCTCCAGCTCCCGACCAGTTTGTGCAGGGATGGCCAACTCCCTTCTTCATAATCAAGTCCAAGACTAGCGACAAGCACCTCGAACTGAACCGAGTCGACCTGCCTGAACTCTGAAAAGGTACCATCCTGTGGTCCTGCACGCCCCTTCCCTGGAACCATTCCCAGTCAATGAATGTTCTTAGCCAACCAGCATGCGTATCTTCTATGCTCATGGCGTCGTTAGGAATCGGATCGTGACATTCTCCCCCACCCAAATCCTGCGACGCCCTCGTCGCAGTGCGGCGCTGACTCCGCTGCGTCCAACTTTCCAAAGCCTGTCTCCTCCAAGTGGTATGCTCGCCTGCCCACCATCGCTTCCTTGTACAACCCCTGGCTGCACTCGCCCAATGATAGGGTTTCGGGCTAAAGGGACGCCCACTTCTTCGGGACGCAACCCCACGTTATGCCGCCTCCGCGACACCCCGAGCAAACAAGCGCCCTCCGGCTGACTTGATACCCGCCCTTCACAACGGTTTGCACGCCTCTTGAACTTGCAAGAACTTTGGTGCGCGCGGCCCTCCGGCCATCCGATGCGCGCGGCCCTCCGGCTTAAAGGACGCATCTTCATGGGGAGATGGAGGCTCTCCTCCAACAGCATTGATTACCCACCGACGCTTTTTCAGTGCACCGTCTTCATTCTCAAGACCCCGGGATCGACAAGGGGGCACACCTTTGTGCTTTTCCCCAAGTCCTGCTCTGATACCATTTGTCACGGGCCTAGAGATTTGGCGCAGCGGCACGGCCCGTGCGGCACCAAGGTGTTGCTTCAGCTCGCGCAAGCGCCCTAGTCAGCCACCACGACCTGCCCTCCCAAGGATACATGCTGACTGGTTTCGGCCTGCCATGGCCTCGTCAGGGGAACGGCTCCAGCTCCCGACCAGTTTGTGCAGGGATGGCCAACTCCCTTCTTCATAGTCAAGTCCAAGACTAGCGACAAGCACCTCGAACTGAACCGAGTCGACCTGCCTGAACTCTGAAAAGGTACCATCCTGTGGTCCTGCACGCCCCTTCCCTGGAACCATTCCCAGTCAATGAATGTTCTTAGCCAACCAGCATGCGTATCTTCTATGCTCATGGCATCGTTAGGAATCGGATCGTGACATCCTGCTCCCTCTGGGCCTGCTGCAGCTGGTGGCTCCGCTTCTGCTTCAGGCCCCCCTTCTGTCCCTACCTTGCCGCCATGGGCCCCTCGGTACACCCGAACGGATGGGACGTTCGTGAAACCGAACGAAACCATGCTGAAGGATGGCCAGACCGCTATGGCCTACTACAGGAGCATGTGGACTCCGAAGGACCTTGAGGCGGCAAAGGGCCTTTCCCAGAAGGACGTGTTCAGCCGCTTTCCCCAATCTGCTATGGAGGTGACTTTTATTTTCCAACTCATGAATTCTCTCATATTATTTGGTCTTGCCTTCGCCCGACCTGACTATTGGCTTAACCGTTTTTAATGTGCACCTATGCAGACATTGTTCGGAATGATGGCCATGCAGAAGCAGGTGGAGATGGGGAACGCCAGGGCCCGTAAGTTTTCTGACAGCCTGGAGGTGGCTAATAAAGAAAACGACCTCCTTGCCATGAAGAATACCGAGGTACTAGCTCGGCTTGACAAAACCGAACAAGAGAGAGATGTCCTGAAGAAGGAGAATGATTCCCTTCAGGATGAGAAGGATGCCCTCCAGCTTGAAAAGAGCGTCTGGCAGACTGAGCGTGAATCAATTAGAGAAGAGAAGGCAGAACTCCAGCGCCTTCTGGCTGACGAACAGTCTGCTCGGATGGCTTTCGAGAAAAGAGCTCTGGACGAGCGTACCGCTCTCATCGAATATGCGCTCCGCTTAATTTATACATAAAAGTCATGTAAAAGTTGTGACATAATCTCTTCATACTAACTGCAATGAAGAATTGTAACTTCTAAAGAATATAATTTGCATTTCGATTAGATTAAGTTGGGCTTTAGCACCTTGTAACTCATCACAATTCCATTTAGATTCATCAGAAATTTCTCAATCCATACCAAATGTTGTTCATGATTTAGCTTCATGTTGTGTTAAAACTGCCTATTTATTAAACAAATCAATCATATCATTTAACTTGTTTAAATACCACTTTTAACACACGGAGATAGTTTTACTTTTAACTACAGCAGCAATAGCTGATAGTTTTACTTTAGTATTTTGGTGATTGAAATTGTAAATTCCATTTGCATTTATTGTTATGACAAATATTGGCTAAGAACAAACCCAATCAAGAATTGAAGAAAAAAATAATCTAAAAATCAAACACCATACAAAACACAGGGATTTAACATGGTTCGGTTTATATATAATCTATATTTACGATAAAGATCAAAGAAGAGAGATTACAGTCTCTCGAGTCCCAGTACACCCTTTGTCTCACTCTCCGTATGTTTCCTCTGATTTGGAATTCAATAAAAATTACTACGTAGATATTAGATCCAAGATATGCAAATAGGTCAAAACTGGTTAAAAGAAAATTGAAGCCACAACTCAACATTCATGCATGTAGTTGTAACGATTTAATGAGAAAAAATTTCTTCACTATGAGATAAACTAGTTAACTTTCTTTTGTATCCTAGACGATATAAACGATATTTGTCTCCACACCGAATAATTGCAAAGATAATTTCTTAATGAGAACCTAGATTCCTTTCAGCGTTCTGCATCATTAGTGTAACGCACTATATCATAGGACAATAACCTCGTACAAAGTTTAACACTTTAAAATAATGATATAATGTAATTACTACATAAGCACATCATGAATCGACACTCTAAAAACCATTCAAACACTGCTTGAGAAAAAGAGCCTCCAGATCCAAGATTTATGTCATTGGATTCCTATTTGAAGTCCCATCTTGAAATTACTCCATAGTTAGTTCAAGTCCACCCATACCATCATACTAACATGGTTGATAAGAGTAATCAGAGGCTCAATAAAATTAAAATTAATACTATATATATATATTAGTGTTTGTCTTTTGTGGTTAAAAATGTTGAAAGGTGTCATCAGGGTGCTTTTGGTCCCAAAACAGTGAAACCAATTTTCAATCTCCAAACTATAAAAAGGCCCTATTATAGCCAAAACCAAGAGGCATCTGTGAAATTAAATGAACTGGGCCACTATAGCCCCATGGGTGGTCCATGGACGCATGAATGCCTCTGCAATCGCCATTCCATTTCACGTGTAATGTTTTGTGTAGGCACAATGGTGGTCTCTCTGATTGCATGTAAACTGTAGAGTAAACAATTGGGTGATGAAGGGGTGATGATATGACCATTTTTATCTTCTAATGGAGGGCTATCCTCTACCAAACTGTACTCTCTCCCTCTCAACCAAGCAAACCACATCCTAGCTCATGTTGTGGTTTCACAAGGTACCAAACTCCAAAGGCCTTTGGCATAGCATTATAACCTACTTATCCTCAAAGAAGATGGGAGGAATTTGAGTCCATTCGTGACAAAAGGGTGTGTATATTTATTTTATCTTTCGAAAAAAACTTAACAGGATAAAAAACTACAGTTAAACTTGTTAGTTTTTTAATTTTAAATCGTCATATTGTATGACTCCCTACCCGTACCATATGGGACAATAGCGGATGTTTTTTTTTTTTTATTTTATAAATATATAATTTCAAAAAAAAACAAAAAAATTTCAATTGACGCAATTATCCCCACTGAACCCATGACAGGTCGTCCCTAATGAAGGTCCAACTTATCATGAAATTACGGTCGCCAGCCCACTGAACTCCAGTTTTGTTTTTGTTTTTTGTTTATTGTTTTTTTATAGTATGGGGCAACCGTTTCCATAGAACAAGCCCACATGGTTAACGATGTGACTTGCGAGCAACTTAATGATATGTGGTCCAAGAACCACCTGAATGTCTATGCAATTTTGAATTTCATTTCAAGAGTTTTAGTGTTCGATAAAATAAAAAATTAACTATTGAAAATTTTAATAATTAAATTTTAGGTGGACAAAAATAAAATAAAAAATTAGTATATTTTTAAATTTTTAGTGACATTCAAATTATATTACCAAACCTATTTAATTGAATAAAAGTTTAATTCATTCAAAATTAAGTGCTAAATTAAAGTTATCAAATAACACATAGTTATAAGTATTTTATACACACTTGCAAATGTTTATATACAAATAATTCACTTTTCAAAAAAATTGCAAAACTTTTATCTTTATATTTTCTCTTACACAAAATTAATTTTGCAATATCGGTAATATCCCGATCCCATATGCATCAAACAATTATCAAAAAATTATTTTAAAAGTAATTTTTTATAGAATTTGAACTCTCAATCTCTAAGATATGATGTGATATTCTTATTAGTATTATAATATTCATTCGAGTTATTTAAATTTCTTGTATTTTCACTAATCACACCATCACATGCATACTCAAACACTCTCATAGAGTCATACTCTGGCCTTACCTTCTTCGCTAATCACTTTCAAGCACCCTCATTGAAATTTTTTTATTTACAAAATTACCTATAAATTTTTGTAAAAATCTTAAAAATATCCCCACTTTTTTGTGAAATGATATTTCACTATATATTTATTGTTGTTCAAGGCCATCCCTTCTCATACAATTCTTTGGATCCGTTAATGACGGGTGGTGCATGCTAAGAGCTTTTCGACAATCAAAGACCGTCACCGTTGCACTGAAACTCTAAAATAAAAGTAATAATTTAATGTCTTAATTGTCTTGTACCTTATTGGTTATGCAACTTATAATTTTTTAACATTTCGTTCGAGTTAGAGTTATTGTAATCTTGGAGGGATTGTTAAAAATCCCATCTTGAATTTTGAATTAACAGTCATCCTTGTTACCTTATCAGCTAGTAGGGATGGACCCATGGTATAATTGTCCCCCGCGAAATTTTTTTTTTTTCATTATTTTGGCCTACTTTTTGTCATTTTGATATATCTACTTACAAAATATTAGTTTTGCCTCCCTAAAATTATTAAAAAATTCAATATTGCCCCCTCTCATTTGAGTTTCTGTGTCCGTCCCTGTCATATGGTCTCATCTTGCTATTTAAATTCAAGCTATTCTTCCGAGCTGTATCTAGTCTTCCGTATCATAAGATTTTTATCCATTTGGCTCCTTTATCTGAACGGTTCAACTCCGTTATCTTATTTGCACAATATAAAAATATACTTATATTGTTACATAATTCCATTTAATTTATCCAATTGCTCTTAAAATATGGCCTATTGGACCCATTGAAAAAGAAAGGGCAATTTCCTAATGGTTTATACTTTCTTTGAGTAAACCTTGATGTAAAATTAACTTTAAAAAAATAAATACTAGACAACAACAATGTGAAACATATTAGTCCTTCAATAATTAGATTTTAAAGATAATATATAATTGGACCAGTCAAAATAACCAACCCATGACAGGCCCAGCCCAACAACTTTGTTGGCCATTTTCATGGGAAAAGACCAAAAAGGTGATTCAGTTTGGTAGCCCTATTAGGTCACCCCATTTTGAAAGTGAAGCTTCCTCTTTCTTCTTTACACATTTGCATGTGGTTGGACACGTGGCGCCACCTCGAGACAAAATCAGAACACCTCAGCATAATACACTACTACTACGATTTTTGTTTTCCCACAAAAGTTAATAAATTAGTTTCATGGAATAAATAAAGTAATTGGGATAAGGTAGAATATTTTGCCAGCCCACACCCATCCATGACCTAACTAATTCCACAAATACCATGTGTGTATAATGTAGTATTTTTTTTTTTTTATTTTATTATTATCTTTTTTTTTTTGGGAGGAAATGGACATCATGGAACCACACCTTCAAAGAACAAAATTTCACCAATATGCGGAGAAAAATTATATTAAAGACGTTATCATCAACTAATTAAATATTAACATTTATAATAAATGGATCACGTAATGTCACTAGTCCGGAATGGACATCATGGAACCACACCTTCAAAGAACAAAATTTCACCAATATGCGAAGAAAAATTACATTAAAGACGTTATCATCAACTAATTAAATATTAACATTTATAATAAATGGATCACGTAATGTCACTAGTCCGGATAAGTTATTATCCAAAATGAGACCTTGAAATTCACCTTTTTTTTCTTTCACTTGCTGCAAAATCAAACACGCATTTATGTCAATATATGGAAGACAAACCTCCAATTCCTTTGACTTTGGATTTTTTGTTTCTTTTATTATTGACCTCAATTTTTAATTTGTTTTAAAAATTTAAGAAGGAGAATAGTTGATTGACCTTAATGTTAGGAGGAATATTCCAACCTAAATGTAATTTGGATATTCTCCTTATATTCCTCTAAAACAATAAAATCAAAGAACGTCAAAAAAAAAAATTTGTTTGACACAAAAATTTAACTTATTTTGAAACAAATATTCAACTTATTTTGACAATGTTTAACAATACAATTTTTTCTTTTTTTGGTAATGAATAATCAATCCGTCCAGTAATTAATTTGGACTCTCGAGAAAAGAAAGAATAGATAAAAGGGAAAAGGGAATAGATGGATGAGGCCATCCATAGATAACCGATGACGTCTCTTTTCCTTTTTGTCGGGTTGAATGACACTTCTTTCATATTTGATTAGAAGAAATGAAAAGAGAATATTTATAATCTTATTACCTTATTACTTTTTTGCCTGGTTAAATGACACTTTTTTCGTATTTGATTGAAAGAAATAAAATGATAATATTTATAATCTTATTACTAATATACCCTCATTATATACCATTACAAAAAGTAAATATTTATTTCAAATTTTAAAAATGGGAATTACATACTGGTAATTATTATTTCTCTCTTTTACAGTATTATTTATTTTTGGTAAAAGATAAATGTCATTTTTCCAAAGTTGGGTATGGGTTGATATTTAATGAAAACCCAATTATTTGAATTGTTTCTTTCTCATAAGTAATCATGGAAGGGGACCACTGGCCACATGATAACCAAGTATCCCATCCACCAACCATCAGATCTGGAGCGTGCCCATCATGAAACCGTGGGCCGCGGAGCACAGAGCCACATCCCGTCCCTATAAATAGACAAAGACAAGGGTACGAAAAACAATTCCTTGTGTCTGTGATAGGAGAGAGAGTCACATCATTGCGTTGGTATGAATGGTTGAAGAGGGCGATAAAAGGGCATAAATTAGGTTTTCTTGCCCACGAAGTGAAGATAGAGATAATTTGGTGGGTGGGTGGTTTTGTTTTTCTAGAGAGAGAAAGTGGAGGAGGAGCTCTGGGTCTCGACCTTTCCCCCCGTCCCTGGCCACTGATGTTATGCCGTTAACCCCAGAGGTACCGCACCTCTATATATCTCTCTCTCTATATATATACGTATATGATTATATGTTGTATTGTTGTTTTTGGATGAAGATGGGTTTGATTTGGGTATATTTGATTTGAATCAGATCTAAATAGGTTGGTTCTGTTTCTCCCAGATTTTCTTTCTATTGAATTTGCTTCGATGAGATCCAGAGTTAGAGTTTGAATTTCAATTAGGGTTATTGTTTTGTTTGTTGTAAGAAACGTTGTGTTTAGGAATGGATTATTGTGGGTTCGGTAAATTTTGGTTTGATTGGGATGAGGTGATTTTTTAATTGAATATGCTTGATGAGATTTAAGGTTAGAGTTTACATCTCACCGAGGGTTATTGTTTTTTGTTTTGTTTTTTATTTTTTATTTTTTTTATAAAATGTTGTGCTTAGGTATTGTTTTGGTTTAGGACTATGCATTTGGTATTGTTTTGGTTTGTTCGCCTGAATATTAAGTTGAATTATTGGGATGAGGTGATCATCTATGTTTTTTTGTTAATTGTGGTAGATTTGGTTTTTGGGTTTCTTTTAATGATCGCAGGGGGTTTAAATTTATTTCTTTATTTATTTTTATTGTTTGTGATAAGGGATCTTTGAATTTTGTTGTTGGTATAGGGGGTGCGAAAGAGTTTGATACAATCCCTATTGGTGAGCATTTTGATTTTCCACGATTTATGAACTATTAGAAATTTGGGTGTGTTACTTTTGGGATCTTATATTTTATGTGGTGGTTGAGTAGACCAATGCTTGGTTCATTTGTTCATAGATGTAGATGATTTCTTGATTTTTGGTCTGGTCCAATACTCCAATCGTCGTGTGGATATTAGCTTTGAGCAAGTGCATTATTAGTGTAAATGCTGATACTTTTGTGGAACCTATATTGTTAACATTGACACCAGCATATCCGCTACGGGCCAGCTTCATTTTCAATTATGCACGCCACTTTTATTGGATGACTGGATATCCACTAGGCTAGATAGCTGATGATCTGTTATGAGAGCATTCACCTAGAGTTTCTAATAGATGTGCTCTAGGTATGATATGGATAGTTCTTTCTAAGACTTGCTTGGGTGGAGATTATGACTGTGCCTATGGCAAATTAATTAGTTACCTTGTGATGGTTCCTTTAGTAAATCGCTTTGCCTATGAAAACAACTTTGCTGATGTAGCATGATAGAAATATCAGTGGACGCTACCAATTGGAATATAGAAATTTATGATGGATGCTAGAGTTTATGGAGTCCATGTATATGGAAAGAGCTGTGTTTTGGGAAGGGCAAGAATAATTGTTGTTTATTCACTGAATTTCAGTATTTTTGTAAAGGAGGGGATCGTGTTGAAAGCCTGTTGTAGTTTACCATGCCCTTGGACTATGCTATCCAGACTTAGGGTACAAGTGTTGGGCACAGGTGCGTGTCCAGGGGTAGGTTCATTCATTCAATAGGATATATGGACTTGGCTAAAAAGGCTCCAAAAATTGAATGTGGGTATTTGGATACGGTACGCAAAAGGGAGATAACGTAGCCTTGTAATTAGTCATTCACATGCCTTTTTTGAAAAAAGACATGCCCATGGTGTTTATAATATTATAATTCTATGATCTGAAAGATTCTATGTTCAATACACCACTATGTAGAATTATATTTTAAGATATTCCAAAGATTAATGGTTCTGCTGACATTGTTTTTGATGTTAAATATTGGTTTGGAAGTATATTATTTTCCTTGATTGTCTGAATATCAAACTATGTTGTTGCAACTCTTGTTAATTAGTTAAAGTATCATGATGCAAGTCTCATGTATAATTTACAACTGCAAAAAGGTGCTGTATGACATTCAAATTCTCATTAATTTTAAAACAAAAGGAGTACGACAAGCAACAGATTCGTTGTTGCTATGCTTTGGTAATTTATCATGTTATTAATCATACTGAAATTGCATTTTCGTAGTTACAAATCACATGCTTTTGGGGGTGTTAATTTTAATTTGGGGATTTGTATGTGTAATATAGTGTGTTAGATGGGGTCAAGAGTCGTATCATTTTGTATGACTCAAAAGGTGCTGTATGACATCAAAATTCTCATTAATTTAAAATGCAAGGAGTAAGACCAGCAACAGATTTGTTGTTGCTATGCTTTGGTAATTTATCATGATATTAATCATACTGAAATTGCATTTTCATAGTTTCAAATTACATGCTTTTGGTTGTGGTAATTTTAATTCGGCGATTTTATATGTAATATGGTGTCAGTGTCATATCATTTTATATTTTTGCTAGCTTCTAGTTGATTATAAGTTATTCTTCGTGATTGTCTATTTTGATGCAAGCTTGGATTCCTTATTTGTGCTTTCAGGTTGCGTCGGACTTTGATTTCAGAGGCTTATATTTTTTAGTTAAGACATGGAGTACCTTTGGTCAGCTTGCTATCATTGTCAGGTTTCTTCATTCCAGGAAGTGCTCGATTGGCGGTGTCTCTTCATTGGAGATTTTTTTCTTGTTTCTTTTGTCAACTGCACTTAGTGGAAAGCTACCCTTAAATGAAAAGTACAAGAGTTCTGATGCAAATATTTTCTGAGAAATGCGTTGGATCTTTAGGGAAGATCTGCAAGTAAGCTACACACTCATTTCCTTTTAAGCTAGAATTATAAGATGAACTTTTGTCTGACAAATTTATCGCTGTAGTGCGTTGTCGCTGCAACATCAAATCGAGATCCTTGGGAAACCGTCTTCTTGGGTACGTATTTAATCATGCTTTACTTTTTTGCGTGTTTATTTTTTTCATTTTAATATCTCTGAAATGGCAATACCTTCATCTTTGTGACATTTTTTCTTATGACTGTAGGGCTGAATTCTGCAAGTAAAGGAATGAAATTTGCGTTCGTTTTTAATTTTAGATGAGCCTGTTACACTGAATCTTTGCAGAGTTGGTTGTTCTGATCTCTGTCTTCGTCTTTTCTCCTGATGGGTACTGGTTAAAAGTGACAAGATATCATCTGTAAGATGCGACAAAGATTCTATGTAGATCAGCTGAGATAGATCTTTTCAAGTTTGTGATAGCATCGTGTGATTGTCTGGAGTATTGAATCCTATCTGTTGGTTGAATTGATAATCAGCCTCAACTCTTCTTGGGTTGGTGTCAGTATGTTCTATAGTACTTGGAGTTTTCTTCTTTATATGCCTAGCAGTTTTTTTTGGAGTCGTTGGTCGTAAATATTTCATGAATAAGGCTACAAAGTCTATCCATTCGTTGTTCCATGCTCATGGACGTTGCAACAGCAAACTGATGGTGGAATCAGCTATATCAGCCAGGCAGTAGTTTATATTTTATAGTTTTCTTTTAGAGTCGTCTACTAAGATAAGCGTCATAAATTTGTCCTATCAGCTCATTTTTTGTCTGAATAAATAAAAGCGTCACGAGCCCTTGCAATTGCAGAAATGGAGAGGTACATTGGTTTTTTGTGGGTCTTGTTTTGTACTAATTTCTGATTTGATTTTACTGATCCATTATGTCAATCGTGTGTGGTACAGGTACAAGATAATCAAAGAAGTTGGTGATGGAACATTTGGGAGTGTATGGCGAGCTATAAATAAGCAGACCGGTGAAGTTGTAAGTACTTTTTACGATTTGGATCGCCCGTGAAGTTAATTGTGAAAAAAAATGCTTTTAATCTGCTGTTCCAAATTAATCTTTTATCTTGACAGGTTGCAATTAAAAAGATGAAGAGAAAATATTATTCGTGGGAAGAATGCATAAACTTGAGAGAAGTTAAGGTAACAATTTAACTGCTGCCTGTCCTTGGCACCTTGCCTCTGGTTATGTTTTCTGTATTCTATAAATTGTGTTTGTTTTGTTGGTAGTCGTTGAGGAAAATGAATCATCCAAACATTGTGAAGCTGAAGGAGGTCATTAGGGAAAATGATATCTTGTACTTTGTGTTTGAATACATGGTAGGTGTCACTCCAGATCCGGTCAATATCTCATCATCCATTGATTACTTGTTATTAAATATTTAAAATGCTGATTTTATGTCCAGGAATGCAACCTATACCAACTTATGAAAAACAGGGCAAAGCTTTTCTCAGAAGCTGAAATAAAAAATTGGTGCTTCCAAGTATTTCAAGGTCTTGCATACATGCATCGTCATGGATACTTTCATCGCGACCTTAAACCAGGTGATTATTTCTAGCGTTCAATAATATAGATAGGGAACTAGATAGTTGAAATGAAATCAAAAGACACTGCTGTAGTGTAGTTTTGGAAATGTTGCATCTAGTTAAATCTACTTTCTAAATATGAGGCTTTTCAACTATGAGGATTTTCAACACTTGTACATGGTTGATGTTACTTTTGGAATAATTGCTTGGCAGCAATATGTGAAACATCTCTATATCAGCAGCGTTTAAACAGACAAATCAACTGGTTGTGGGATTATAATTTTCAAATATTGTACCTGCCAATTTAACTAGTGTACATTATTGTGTTATGCATATAAAACATTTAGCGTGCGCATGTTTGCAGAGAACTTGCTGGTTTCAAAAGACATTATTAAAATTGCTGATTTTGGCCTTGCTCGCGAGATCAATTCTCAACCACCATATACGGAATATGTCTCAACACGCTGGTGGGTGATTTTTCCCACTTTTCTTATGTATTTGTATTCTCTTTAAACCTTAGTTCTGCTTGTTGCTTTTGATTATTGATTCGTAAAATGTGGATTTGATAGGTATCGGGCCCCTGAAGTTCTGCTTCAATCACCAACATATAACTCTGCAGTTGGTGAGTAGAAAATTTGGCCTCTATTTTTGAAAGGTTTTCAACGAATTACTTAAGAATTATAATTTATTCTTTTCCTACCTCTAGATATGTGGGCAATGGGGGCAATAATGGCTGAACTGTTCACTCTTCGTCCTCTTTTTCCTGGTTCAAGGTACATACATATCGTATCCTTTCAATCTCCTTTGTTTCTTTTATGGTTACGAAAAGTTAACTTCAAATTACCGTATTGATTGATCTGATTGGGGATATTTGGCGAGGTTGGTTCTCTAGAAGGGTGTACTCCTTCGCCTATCTCTTGATTGATGCAAACCAAGATTATGTTACATCATACATGATGTTCTAAATAACACATCTGAAATTTAATTAGCGATATATGATTTCCCCTCCCTCCAATTCACATGTTAATTTTGACATGTTCAATGTTGCATTTCATGCTTTGAATGCGATTTGAATATTGATTTCAATGGACTCTACTCTTTACAATTTTATTTTTGTATTTGTTTATAGTTGTAATTCTCTTTGTGACAATGTGGATGCAGTGAAGCGGATGAGATATACAAAATATGCAACGTCATAGGCACTCCGACTGAAAGTGAATGGGCTGAGGGACTTCAACTAGCAAGTGCTATAAACTACCAGTTCCCACAGGTCAGTTGAGCTTGGTTTTTGTGTGCTTTTAGTGCAATAAAAAATGTTACATGTTTATGTTTTTTTTCCTCGCTAATTTATATTAATGAAAAGCTTACATTTTTGTGATTGATTTAGTATTGACTTTGTTATCGGTAATTGACTATAGTGTTATTATGTCAATTAATGTAATATCCTGTGTGTATTATATAAATAGTCCATTGTAACCTTGCTTTTAAATTTGAAATTGCAGCTTACTGGTGTTCATCTCTCTGTGTTGATGCCATCTGTAAGCGAGGATGCAATCAGTCTTGTTAGAGTAAGTACTGGTTTTTTACAATTGTAGCAGCTGCTATTCTTTCTTCAGTCATTTTCCATCATATTTGTTTAATTTTTCTCTGACATGCATATGAATATAAATTTGGAGAATTTATTATCAATTTTTTGAGGGTATATTACACTGGACCCCATTTTGGTTTACTGTAATTACATGAAACTCCCTCTTGTTTGGTAATTACATAGAAGTTTCCAACCGGAGGACTGTAATTTTTAAAAAATGAGGGAAGGTCCTTGCAATTGTATGGCAAACCACAAGGGAGTTCAATATGATTGACCCATTTTTTGAAATAGAGTTTGATGATTGTTACCATTGAACTTATAATAATGTGTTGGTCATTTCTTCTCAAATATATAGTTACTATGTTCATGGAATCCTTGCAAGAGGCCAACCGCATTGGAGGCCCTCCAGCATCCATTCTTCCAGGTGACATATTATAACATGCATTAGTGTTTCTTTGAGTTTATTACCTTTTGGATTTAGTTGTAAAGCATTGATTTGCATTCTTTGATGTGGCAGAGTTGTTATTATGTTCCACCATCTCTTCGTTCCAAAAATGTTATTGCTAGAACACCTCCATCTGGTTTGTCCTTTTCCCTCACAATGTTATTTTTCTGGGACAATGAATGGATAGCCTAATTCGTTTCATTCTCGTTTCTTCTATAAATGATTTGTTTCAGTTGTTGCAGCTGGAACTAGGGGATCTTTTGAGCAGAAAAGTGCCAGGAAGCATTCTGGGACTTTGTCTAGTATGAAGCCCACAATCAACTCAACTGCCAGAGCTAATGTGTCTCTAAGCACAGGTGATGCATTAACTTATAAGGAATGATACTCGCCCCTATTGTATGATTGTTTTGGTATCTTAATTGATGGTAACTCCAATTTGAATTTAATACAAGATATTATTGTTCTGTGTTAATGTCCTAGTTTTAGTCTTCACCCTATATTCAGTTGAGACCTAAGTCACATAAAGCGGGAGCGTCACAGATCGTGAGAGCGGTACCATTTTAAAAAAATTGTGCGACTTAGGTTGAGGCAACAGAAATAAAAAGGGAAACAATTTAAATGCTGCATCTGTAGCATCTGCTCCTGAAACTTGACAAGGATTTTACCAAAAGCCAAAGTATGCATCTATGCCTATTCCTAGAGGGAAAATATACAAAAATGACATTGTTAAAACATGAGATGCTGGTAACTGAAAAATATTTAGGGTTCTCTGAGAATTGTGTTGATAACAAATTTCCGTGCCAAAGCTGATTATTATAGCCGACAACTTGAAAGTGGAAAATTCTGCTGTTACCATGGAAACCACATTGGTTTTCTGATTTTGAAGCCAGATAGAATAATTATCTCATCGGTTATCAGGATTATATGCTTATTCCCATGGTTATTTTTTTATTTTGTTTTTTTTCCCTCTTCACACTGCATGAAAGAAATCAGAGGTGATGTGCCAGTCGTCGTCGGACATCTGTGTGTGTGTGTGCGCCTTTTTCCCCTCTTGAATTATTTACTCTGGTGCAAGTTGATACTCATATATTCTCATCTTATTCTGACAATTTTCCAGGTGTGCAACGGAAGTTGGAAATGAATAATCAGGTGACTTGTCATATACTTTGCATTTTAGTGGGTGCACATTTGTTGATTTGTTGAGGTCATTATTGTTATTATTAATTCTTTGTCTTTCTTTCTTGGGTGGTTCCTAGGATGCAATTAAGAACGATAAATATTTGAAGAGCTCTGCCAAACCTCCACCAAGATATGGACCGCCTGCAAGGAACAGTCCAAGTAAGTTCTGTCCACGATAATATTTTAGTGTGTTTTTCTTTCCAAGTATGAGAACACAAGTGACTTTCTTTCCAAGTATGAGAACACAAGTGTGACATTAAACGAGTTTGACCTCCTGCAGCATCACAAATGGAGACTCGTGTGTATAAAAATTTTAGTGAAAATTTCTAATTGCTGAACCATAACATTCGTTTAGCTCAAACCCATAGTTTCCTCACTAAGGTTTTGCTCAATATAGATTTTCAAGTGCATGAAAATTTATTGGGCTCATCGTGCAAATATTTGTGTTCCAGTGTTTTCTGGTTTTGCTCACGAAAGAGCAATTTAGTTTATATTGATTTCAATCTAAACATGATTAACTGCGTGGGTTGGCAGCATCCATTTACAGCGGTAAAGGATCACGCGGAGTTTCTGATACAATTGAGAAGTTGGCAAACATGACGGTTGGTTCTGGTAGAGTGCCCGTGCCCGCAAGGCAGCCCTTGCCACCACCTCTGAAGGCTGGAGGATGGAATGGCCACTCTGATTCGTTTCTTCGACGATCGCAGGACATTCAACCCGGAAGAACTTATTCCCGGAAAATTGTGGGATGAAGAAATGTCTGATGGGAGGTGAAAATGGATTATGAAATAACAATGGGATTGTTGTTCTCTTGCGCAAATATTGCCTTTTCTGTTTGTGGCTTGGTCAAGTTTGTTTGGTTACCAATTAACTAAGTAAATGTTACTTCGTGTTTTGTGAGATGTTTGATGATTGTTTAATATAATAATATGGTTCAAAGTTGTGGCTTGTGTTATATCATTGTTTTTACTACTGCTTGATTTTTTTTTTTCCGATTCCTTTGAAGGGCATTTGATTTGAATTTGATCTGATTTGCCATTGTACCATTACTGCAATTCGGCGCTAAAGCAAGGCTATCCTATTCCTGTGAGGATAGGATAGGATTGAAAAAGATGGATGTGCCCCTTGTCTTCTGATAAAAGATAAATAAAAATACTATGTATTGTTTGGTTGGAGGTGGGAGGAATGGATGATCCATTTCTTCCCATCCCATTCTGTTTGGTCTAAAGAGATTTTATATGTTCTTTTACCAGTTCCACATGTTGGTACAGTGATTTTTTTAATTATTAGAAGCTAAAAATGGTTATATTTCTATGTAATGGTTTTTCTTCTTTTACTCCTCTCTTCCATAGATGGAAAACGTGTCGTTGGACTCCTCTCCTCTTTCTTTCCGTTCTTCATTCCAATTAAACAAGACATTTAAGCAATAATTTTCAAATTGATGATATTTTTGAAGTCACTGTTACTCTAGATTTTATTTCATTTTGTATGGTACTTATTTCATAATTAAAAGATTAAGTGATGAATTAAGTCAAGAAAATAAAGCAAAGCATTGTCTATATGATAGGAAGACTAGAAAGGAAGTTGTGTAGTTATCTTATCAGTGTCAGTATAACGGTAGATATACACACTTTTCTTTCTATACTAATGCAATTACATTTGTCTCATGATCTCATCCAACTATTTCAACTTGATAATATCAACATAAAAGGAGATTATATATAAGCTTTCCGATTCATTTCTCATCCGATAAATAGTAAGTATTACAAAAAAAAAAAAAAAAAAAAAAAAAAAAAAAAAAGAAAAGAAAAGAAAAAGAAAAAGAAAAAAGAAGCCCAGATGTAAATGTAAAGCCGAATGATGATCCCATAACATCTAAAACAAATAAAAAAATCTTCAAAATGTTGGGTATATGGATCAACTCATTAAGACCAAAAAAAAAGAAAAAAAAAAAAATTGGCATTTGAAAATGAAATTGATGCTCCTCCTCTGGAACAGAATCTTGGTGAAAGAAGAAGATTGAATCATTACCACATATTGTTAGGTACTGTCAAAAAGATTATATGCCATCTGAGTGGTGGATGGCCAACAAACTGGTGGTTGATCGCATTCATTATGCTGTGTGGATGGATGGATAGATATAGATGTACTCTCTCCATCACTTTGCTAATAAACATGAAATTTTGAATTAGAAAATTTTGGTGGAATGTCCAGCTCTCTGCTGCTTCTGAAATTCCCATTCACTTTCTATAATTTTAGAGGTATTGTGCTTGAATTCTGTCCCTGTTCTCTTCCCACCAGTGCTTTGCGTTCACCTCTCCAAACTTTTCGCGGCTGCGCGGGAAAAAATAAATTTAAAAATGAAGAATATAAACATTCATACACAGGAAATCTCTATATAAAGTGTGTGAGAGAGAGAGATTTGAGATTGGTTAAACTTGAATACCTGAATCTGACACGCCGGAGCTCCCTAGTGCCATCGGCTAATTGTCTGATGGTAATATACACCCCGGGCTCATCTTGTTCAACCCACTCCGACTCCAGGTCACTGGCATTGCTGATGGAAACAGAAGCCTCGTCTCTGGAGTCGGTGGTCATTCGTGCTGCATCCATGGATTGACCACCAGCGCCATAAGCACTTGAACCACCGTAGTAGTGCTGGCTGCCAACTTGATCCGAAGGGTCGGATGGAAAATACCCTTTACTGCCGGAAGGTTTATAATAGTTTCTCGGCGTCCATTCTTTCTGTAGTGATGAAGCCATAGGGCTTTCCCTGGCCGATCCAAGCCTCGTGTAGGAAGAATCTCTCACCTGCTCAAAAATTGTGAAATATCAGTAAGCTGTGACGATCCTGTATCATTCTGTATCAGTTTATTTGTAGATGTATGTGGATGTGAATAGCCGAGGATGTTACTGTTGAGGAATGTTGAGGTTGGAAGATGGTATTAAAGAAGTTATGTTATGTTGTCTCTCTCATCTCTCACTGTCAGTCTCCAGTACTGTCCTTAATTTTGTACAGTATATTGCATATATATATATATATATTCCCACTGTTCCAGGTTCTATTATTTTGAAGAATTTATGCCTTTCTTTCTTGTGGTGGTTATTGGACTGATTTTGTAGAAAATAAATATAAAATTGAATAGACTAAGTTAACTAAATGCCCATATGAGTGGGTAATTCATAGAAAATGAGCTTATCAGTAGCCATGCATAGCTGAAAAGTCGATGCTTCTACAATAACAGTTGTCAGAATCATTTTTCCTGCCAGAGTTATCCATCCATTTGTCCCCAAGAAAAGTGATGATGCAAAATTCAGCACCGTCTAGAGCCGGGGGCCTTCCTTGCAAGAAAAGATAAGTGACGACCGGTGTGGTGCCAGCCAGCCGGGTGCCACTCTAGTCTGTCACTTCTCTTTTCTTGCAAGAAAGGCTCCCGACTTTGGATCGTGCTGAATTTTGCATCATCAAATACTAAAATAAATAAAAATCTGCTATAGAGCGGTGCCACCTGAACTACACATTTTTATCACTCCGAAGGGCGTGAACATTCCTCTTTTGTCCAGTTAAGTTTAATAGTTTAGAGGTTTCAAATGGAAAAAAAGCTTATGCTGTGAGACGCATATCCATGGTCAAGAGTAGGAATGATCCAGTGATAGTTAAGTTAATCAAGAGACGATGGAATGAACATGATTAGAATAATGTGGTTTACCTCATCCTGATCAGCCCTGGGGGGCGTGTTAAGAGCTTGCCGATTAAATCTCTGAACATTGTAGAGCTCCATGATTCGATCAAAATTCTCACCCCACCATCGTTGAGCTTGCCATTTATTAAACATCTCTCGGCTTCAAATATTAAATTTCCAAAGTAAAGTCAGTGATCATGGAAGTTAAAAGCTGAATTATTCAACTTGGTGTCGTATTGGTCCACATTTGGACCCCATGCATCAAATAGTCCAAGAAGTGGTTTGTAAGTTTTAGAGCCATTTTCTCAGTTTGGATCCATTTAGGTATTAATGTTTGAATGGGAAATCGGTTAACAAGACATGGTAGAGAACAAGAATGTACCTGAAGCGAATTCGTTTTAGATCATTCCCGCCATGAGGAAGAGACACAAAAGTAATCTGAACACCAGGCTCAACCTGTGCCATCCACTCCTTAGGTTCATTCTCATCCTCTAGCACTACGTCACATGACTGGGCTGAGATGGATTCTCTTCCTCCAGGGGTCCGATCACCACCAAATCCTCCGGTGTACCTTGAAGCAGATCCGAAATTAGGGTGTCCGCCACTAGTAGTAAAATCCCACGCGGGCGTTGAACTTGCGCTTCCTGGTTGCATGTAGGGGTAAGGAACCCCTTCTGAAACGGTATCGAAATCCGGGTAAGGTCGCTGTCCTTTCTTGTAGCCGCTGCTGCTGCTGGAGCCTCCTGGGCAAGGTTTGCATTGCTTGTATGCACCCGAGAATTTCAATGCCATATCCTTGATCTGCACGTTGTAGAAATTAAAGGCCATGTTAGACCTCAAGAATTACAAGTCGCAGATTTTATTTGATTTTTACAACTAATTCAAAGGTGTAACCACAATTTGAACATCACAGAAGTTGCTACGAAAGCAAAGGCTTATAATGTGACAAATTAGTTCTTTAAATCATTGTTCGAATTTTTGAAAAGCGTTTTGAGTCACTTCGAGGAAAGAATTTGGCATAGTTCATCCAAAATATGAAAATTATTAGAGACTAATGTAATAAAAAAGGTTAAGATTGTGGCAAAGTTTACACCTTAATAACCCTTGTCAGTCTAACGTGGAAACATATCAAGATTAATAACGAGCTAAAGAAACAATTAACAAAAAGACCAAAAAGGCCTTAAGAACAATCAATTTTTTTTTTCAAGCCACCTATTTCATTTGCACAAAAGCTTAAAATGTTGTTCCAAGTATTGGTTCATTTACTTGGAAAGAAACATGAATCCATCTTTATTAAGTGAAACTCAACTACTGGCGGAAATGTTGACAACAAACTGATATGGTACATTTTCATTGGGTGGATATACCAGTGACGTCAGATGTCTGATGTACACAATATCTTCTATGGATGAAGGCATTACTTCTGAGGACATTAACCACTCATAAAGACATTGCCATTACCCTCTTTGCTGCATTATGTTCTCGAAATTAAATGTCACGGTACACCATGCAAGGACGACCACAGTAAAGGCTTATAATCTAGCAGGTGGTCTCGGTCTGAAACCACCATTTACTTCTGTAGCTGCAAAGGGAGCCTGGTTTGGCTGTCACAAAATTTACTTCACTAGCTAGCTGATGACATGCCAGCATTGTTTGGCCATTTTTGAATAGTTTTGAAGAACACAGTGGGTCGACAAGAATTCAATGGTGGGTCACACTAAGGACATAGATGTGTCTTTTCTCGATATTCCTCATCCTTTTTCTCCATTCCCCTTCACCACTAGGCCATAGTGTGGAATATATTCTCTGTACTGTGTCATGGAATTTGCTTATTCTATGGAGAATTGACCAATACTTTTTTTCCACCGAACAAAATATGGTTTTTTTTTTTGGGAGAGGAACTGGGATTCTGTCGCGTACTTGCAAGGTTTTGAGGTATATAATTGAAGGGGATGGTGGAGAGTTTAAGATAATCGGAATGGAATGAAATCAAGGTTTGGTCCCTTATTTCCGGGATTAGCTGAATAATAAACGAACAGAACTTGCTGAGTTCACTCGTGGACAACTCTAAACAAAGCGTACTTTTGAATCACATGATATTCGTGTTACCCACATATGACATGTTTGGATGAAACATGAAACAGAGGAAGTTTGGAGTCGATCCCTTTCTTTGGATACAATTAAATAAATAAATAATAATAATAAATAAATAAATAAAAACAAGACTGTGTAAAGATGAAGCTAGACATGAATACTTGCCTGTATGATCCTTTCTTGAATGGATCATCTCGTGGAACATTTAAAAAAAATTGGTTTCATCTTAAGTCATAAATGGAACTTCTATGGGAAAGGGCTGACAATAAATAGCGGGGGTACTGAGCTAATCTTTAGAAATCTGAATGCAATAATGCTTTTCAAATCCTCCAGCCGTTAGCCTAGTGGAGGAGTGGTAATTGGGTGGATTTGGAGAAATCTGAATGCAATAATGCTTTTCAAATCCTCCAGCCGTTAGCCTAGTGGAGGAGTGGTATTTGGGTGGATTTGGGAGGGTTTGGAATGAGTTAGGTATGAATTGGTAAATAACTCATTCTCAACTCATCATCAATAGTGGATTATAAATAGGTAAAGACTCAAATGGGTGGGTCAAAACTGGCTAACCCATTTCAACATTTTTTTTTATTTTGGATAAAGTACAGTCACAACCCTTAAAGTTTGACATTAGGACACACAAATGAAAGTTATTCATTTTTTGGACAAAGACACCCCTTCAAGTTTGAAAAATGGACAAAGAGACCTCGACAATGGTGAATTGACTTTATTACCCTTTAATATAAAATTAATATTTTAATTACCTTAAATGCCCTTGGATTAAACCCAAACCCATTCTTTTCTCTTTGTATATATATTTCTTTCTTGCAAAGGCGGCCGCCGATGATGCAGATGTTGTCTCCCATTGATATCATGGCAAAATCCTTCAAAACAAGATTCTCCTCTAGGCCAGGAATGGAGGTGACATGACTCCAAGTATTGTTACGTGGATTGAAAGAGTCTATCCAAGTAGGTATGTTTACATTAGGTGCTGGCTCTCTGAAGCAAACTGAGACATAGATTTGAGGGCGTGAAGTGGAGTTTTCCGGCAATGCAGGCGGCGTGGAGTGTGACGAAGGGGATGGGAGGGAACCCATTGAATTGGTGGTGGGGGGTGGTGGTAAATTTTAGTGTGCAAGTCTAGGTACATTATGATTGTCAAATGAGTAATGTAATATAGATGGAAGTTAGATATATAGTATTAGTGTAGTGGAGAAAACAAGAAAAGGGTGATTTGTGAGCCATTGACTAGTACGAATGCTGGGGGCAGCATCCTAAGCAATCTTGATGGTGAAACCTAGGGTTTTGTTCATGATTGATTGAATTTTTATAGCGGGTCGTGGTCTCATGTGTTGTTGTTCATGGTGGATTTTGGTGAATTCAATGTAAATTTTAGGGGATTTCAATACACATACACTACATAATCGTCGCCGCCGCCAAAACCCGCCTAATTCCAGCCCATCACAAATTGCCGCCGTCGCCACCACCCACACAATCCCAATCATCAATTGCCGCCACCACCCACACAATCATCGCCTCTTAAACCCACCACCAATCCACGGCCTCTCCCTTAAACCCAGATCTTTTTTTTTCGTGTAACTTACCGGGTTGAAGATATATTAGATGGCTTTCTCCTCCAACTCATCAGCCACAGATAGATACACGACGCTGTCCGGCAAATAGGATTGAATCGATGACAAGGGACATATGCCTGTGTGTGTATATACATATGATAGCAGATAGAGAGAGAGGCGTAGATTGTGTGATTGGAAGAGAGAGTAGAGAAAAAAATAAATAAAAGGCTCTTATGTCATTTTGTATGGTCTGTTATTTTGTAATATATTTAAATTTAATATAAAGGGGTAATTTTGTTTTTTCATATGACTTAGGTCTTGTTTGGATAGAATTTTAGAGGAGGGGGTGTCATTGACAAAAAAATGAGTAACTTTCATTTGTCTGTCTTTTTGCCAAACCTCAAGGGGTGCGAGTATACTTTACCCTTTTATTTTTTATTTTGCAAATTTTTTACTTTCCTACCATCTATGACTAAAAAAAAAATTTAATAATTTGTTCATACATTAATTTTTTAATTTCAAGCATTATAATTTTTTTTTTTTCTTTTCCTTTTTATCCTTTGGGAGAAGTCACTATAAAACTTAATCAACAATATTAATTAATTTTTTGATTTCAACCGTTACAAATTTTTGTTTTTTTTTTAAATTTATTTTGGGAAAAGTCATTATACAACTTACTCATTAATATTAATTACATATATTTTAAAAAATGAGTTTTGAGCCAGAGTTGTAATTAATTGTTGATCATTTATTTTATACAATAAAACAAAATTTGAAGGAAGAGTGAAAAGAGAGAATTATCATAGGAAAAAAACAAGAGGAGAGAGGCAGAAAAGAAGGAGATGGAAGAGAGAGAGATGGAAGAGGAAAAAAAGATGGTTTTGTTTGAGTGTGTTAAGCCCATTTTAACCCCTCATTAACCATTGAATTGTATGAGTACCCACTTTTTATCCATTATTATTTACCCACTTAAATTTGAGTGCCCAAATAATTTAATTTTAGTGGGCTAGTTTGGGCTTAAATTGCCACCCCTAGCCTAATGGAATAATTCTTTAAAATGGTAGTCACTATACCGAGTTGGGATTCTCTTCGTGTTGTGTTGCATCAAACAAATTCCAACCCACACATGTGCTAGTGTTGAAATTCGTACTCCAGCCCACACACGTGATACATGTAAGTGCTGAAATTTGTCTGATACGTGAAAGTGAAAATGAGGTGTTTGCTAGAGAAATTAATTTGTCAGGGCTTATTAATGTAGTTCATGGATCATGAAGTTTTTATTTCTACGTTTTAAGAAGAATCATTAATAACTTTTTTCTAAAAACAAACATTTCAATTTCTCTGTCGACTTTACAATTCATGCACTTTACCTAAATGTGAGAGAATAATAGTGATGTCATGTCAAAAAAGTACAATTCTATGATATAAGCGGGTGCGAAACATTAGACACTTACAAATTATGAGATGTCATAATCTCATGTCGTCTCGAAGAGGTGAAATACTATATATACAGTTTAATGCGTAATATATTTTAAAATTGTGGTAAACATGAAACCACTACAAATAAATGACTCTAAAAAGTGTTTAATTTGAAAAAGCAAAAAACTAACAATGTGTGGCTGGTATCAGTAATATCTTTAACGGTTACACATCATTCATAACAACGTATGGCTATATCAATTTTGTAGAACCGTGTCATAGACTCATTGACTCGTGGTCAACAAAGTAAGCGACTTTGCTTTGCACAATGCTAGGATAATATTGAGAGTTTATTTACACATATTAAAGCTGACACCATCTAATTTATAATGTGAAAATAATGTTTTACCCTTATATATTATGTTAAATCTTAGAAGAACCTTTATTTGATTGAGTTTTTATAATTTGGATATAAAAAATTAAAAAAATAATAAAAATTAAAATGTCGCGGATTATATATATATATATACACACACACACATATAGGTAAGGTGTAGGATTAGTACCTGCGCCGTAAGGCCTTTGACGGATTCTTTTGTATTTGGTGTCCCACGCGCCCCTTCCTCTTCTCTGTCGTCCCGTTGCTTCGAACACGTAATACACGTCAACATTTTTCCTATCTCTCTATTACTCCTCTTTTTTCCTTTTTCTTTTTCCTACTTTCACCTGAAAAAGAAAATAGTAATAATAAGTATTGTATTTTCTTTTTTACTTTCATACAAGAATATATATATATATACACACACACACACACGAAAAAGTTCTATCTCTCTCTATATGCAAATGAGATAACGACTGATTCATTAATTTCTCGATTTAAAAAAAAAAAAAAAAACGGTAAGATTACGTGCTAACAAATGCATTTTAATTATAAATAAAAAATATTATTATTTTTATTTTTCTTAAATACATGAAATGAAATAACATTACTGGTCCCAACTTAAAAAAGCAAAATTAGGTGTGTTATGCATGATCTTACAAAATTCCCCTTTTATGCATGGACAATACAAATTTAGTCTTTTCAAAAAATTCTCTTTATTTTGGAAATCTTATTGTCGAATTACTATGATACCCCTGAAAGGAGGGTTTCCAAAAGGGTAATTTTGGTGAAATGCAAGGGAATTAGAACATTCTTTCAAATCACATGTGATACGGGACAATATCATTTCCTAGAAGATATCAATCCTGTTTGGTATCCCGGAAAACAGAAAGGCTAGAAAATCCGGAGGGAAGTAAATAAAAAACAAAAAAAAATCGCAGGAACCAAACAGATGTGGAGAGAAAAGAAAAAGAGAAAAGGGAGAGCTCGGGATCAGAGGAAGTGAAATGGATTAAATAATTGAGTCAATAATTGAAAGGGAAATTTGAAAGTGGTCGCAAAACACACACTGTTGCGTGGTGTGTGCGTGCTTTAATGCAATGTAAAGAGGGTGAAATAAAGGGGAATAAAGAATGTGATTTGTGCACACCGAAGTTTCTGACGATGAATTCATTAAAATAATTGGACCCTTTCTCTTTTGTTCGTTTCACATCCATTTTCATTTTTCAAGAAAATCCAAAAGTAAGTCATACTAATATATATATATATATATATAATATAATCGCATATATAGAGAGAGAAAGTAGAGAGAGAAACAGAGTAGAAGAAGAATCTCTTTCTCAGGCTGTTGGGGCAATCGAATCCGAATCAATGACCGATCGCTTTAGGAATCTGCGAATGGTTGAATCGGCAGAGAGAGACGAAAGAAGCAAAAATGGCAGAGCATACACAATTATTCGAAAACGACTCACCTAAGCAAACACGAGCCTCCTTTACTCTCTCTCTCTCTCTCCTCACTACTTTCTCTCTCTAAGCACGCACTCCAAACAAGCTTCAGATAACTTGTATAAAACTCAAGAATCCAAATCGAACTGAAATGAAAATTACCAAATTAACGCTAATAATGTGTAATTAATTTCTCTATTTCGCTTTGAATTTCTATATGAATTTTTTTTTTTTTTTGATGAACTCCGAAGCAAAAATAGAGGAATATTGGCAGAAATGAATACACTGAAAACCTATGTGTATATATATATAGATAGTTTGAATATATATATATATATATATGATTACCTCGAGAATGAAGTCCTCTGTTTTCTCATGCAACGACTCTGAAAATAGCTGAAACTTGTTCAAAATTGATAAACATCTTCAATGCGATTGAAACAGAGAAGTTTTGTACTCTTTCGATCGTTTTTAGCTTGAAACAGAGCAGAAAAAAACCCTAGATTTTCCAATCAGGAAAGCATTCTCTTAACCGGCAATGAAAAGATGATGAAAAGTGAAAATCCCTCCGATTTAGCTTTTCTCCGAATCAACTCAGATACATTGATGTCGCAGTTTCTCTAAATTTTGGAGAAATGAATCACCGCCGGTGAAAAACGCCGGCGAGATCCGGCAGCTTGTTCGAATTTAATTTGTAAAGGCCTAAAAACGGAAAGCTATCGTACACCTATTTCCAGGTTTACGTTACTCTATATATGTGTGTTTATGTGTGTGAGAGAGAGAGAGAGGGTTGCCTATATATATATATATATATATAAAGATATATATATATATTGGAGCTGAAGAGCAATACAGACAAGAGAAGAGAACATCTGAGAGGGCTTTTATATTTATAGGGGGCGTGACGCCGTCATCTTTAGCCGTTAAATAAAGGAATACTTGTGCGTATATTGTGTTTAAAAAATGGTATGAAATGTAATTAAATTGTGCAGTTTAAAATTTTAAAAATAAAATCTACCAATTCAATTTTTCTTTTTTACTTTTCTCTCACTCATTAAACATAATAAATTGTGCATATATAATACACACACACACACACACTAAACAACATAAATAAATTCGTTCTCTAAATTATCAAGACTTTTAATTAAAGTGGTATCTATTCTTAATTTCTTACCATAGAAGTTGGGAGTTTAAATCTTCAAAGATCATAATAGGTAGGTTTGTTAGTGAATTTAATTTTGTTTCAAAACAAATTTGAAATTTAAAATATGAATTGAAATATGATAATTCTTAAAGATTCAAATTTAATAATTAATTAAATTAATTTCTTAACTTACTAACGGGTATGTCTAATAATAAGTGTGTTTGCATTTCACTTTGACAAAAGAGGAGGTGTCACATAAAATATTTTTCTCTGTACATCACTACAATAAAAGATTGTCATTAAATTTTCAATTCTTTAAAATAATAATATTCTTGTTAAAAAATTAAATAAAACATTTTATATCTTGAAAATAAAACTTTGCTTTCAAAGGAAAAAAGGACAATATTTAAAAATTTGTTGGTACTGTTTTTGTTTTTTGTTTTTTTTTTTTTTTAAAAGGGAAAACTATCATCAATACCAGAGTTTAAAATATTCCAATTTCAAAAAACAAGAGTTTTTTTTTTTTTTTTTTTTTCGAATTCTTGAAAAATATTTTCAAATTTCCCAAAATCTCTTTTTAAATCCATTTATGGGTACGAATTTTGAGTCTGAAATAAAAAGGTACAAAAAAAAAAAATTTACCACAAAGTGTTCAATTTAATTTGTATCTGGCTTTCCTTTCAAAATGAAAGATCGATAATTCAAGTTTAGAGTAAAATATGTGCTTTTTTTTTTTCTCGTGCATAGTGGCATATATTTGTTCAATTTACTTATTAGAAAATAAAAAACAAAACCTAATAATATATATATATATATATATATATATATATATATATATGTATATACTACTTTATTATTTTAGCATTTCAAAAAAAAAGTTTGTCCATGTATGGATCTATAAATAATACACGGTGGTAACTGTTAGCAGACAATTGGTCAAGAGTAAAGACCAAATGGAGAAGTAGTGACCCACATGTCTAGGTGATTCGTAGAGCTCTACCGTGTCTCGTAAGTAGGCCACGTGTCTCCATGCAGATCGATCTGATCTGTTGGAGTGGGGGGTGGGGGATCAATGATCGTGATTCGTTTTAGAAGGAAGATATTGACAGATCAAGAACCATCAAATCAGGTCTCTTTTTGTTTCGTCTACGATTGCTTTTTAAGAATGTGAGTAATCAACTCGTTCAGTCCGTATGATCTATCTTTATGAAATGAATTGGGCTTTGTGATGAGAAAACTTTTTACTGGCCAGTAGACTCTACTCTAAGTTGCAGATTTCATGGTTTTATTCAAATAAGGGAGGGTTGGTTGCTCACTGCGCTCTAGGTCACTTTTACCCCTTGTGACTTATCCATGTAAGTAATATATATACTTATACTCTAATATATATCTATATATATATCATGATTTGCAGATATCGATCGCGGTATCGCGGCCGCGGTGTAATAGAATATCGATGTGAAGTGGCTGAGCCGGCCGGTTCATGGAAGTGTGTTACAATATCGAACCTTTGAAAAAGGATTTCGAACCGACAATAATCATGATATGTACATATTGCAATTAAAGATAGAGTGATGATAGACTAGCCGATTGAATCGGCTAGTCAAATGGGGATTCAAAGTGTTCCCCGTCCGCATAACTAGTTGAACCAACCAACTGAATGGGGAGCACTCCGAATGGGGAGTCAAAGTGCTCCCCATCCACAAAATCATTTGAGTTGCGCAAGATGAAATAATTGTGGAACAAGAGTATGGAATTAATATCTAGAGGAGGTGAATAGGTTCAATTTGCCCTTTTACTTTTGATTTTATCAAAATTAAACTAAATTAACATCCCACAAAGGAAAAATAAAATGCAAGTAAGCAAGAGTTAGAGCTCAACACCGGAATCTTAGTGAGGAAACCCTAATCGGAGAGAATCATCCAATTACGGGGAAAAATGTTTGAGACTGTCATGCGGTCTCGAGCAAAAAGATCCATTATAGTTGAAGCAAAATACAATAGATTTCGATTTAGGCTCACACCCTATCTAATCTACTAAGAACCAAGTACTGAATATCTTCGGCTTTGTGACTCACTCCGTCCAAATGCTCTTGACTTTAGGCTTATTCCATTTATCCTTGTAGAATGATTACTTGTAGATCATGAACACTCTGCGAATGCTTTGACACCTTCAAAGTGTGATTTTCTTCAAACTTGAATTGTTGAAGTTGAAATAACAATTCTACTTTGATGATCGATATCAATGGATCTTCGATTGGAACGAACAACGATCACAAAAGCCGTAATGATTTTTTGAGATAAAAAAGAGTATATAGAGGTGTTTCGAGAGACCTAAAAAGGCTTGAAAAACTTAGCAATTTCGTGCAAAAACTTCTCTCTAAAACCTGATAAAAAAGTAACTTGAATTTGACTATAATACAAATTTCCTTTTTTATTAGAACAATTTCAACTGGTTAGACTTTGAGTGAGTGCGTCTTTTTTGTCTGCATGAAGTTCAACCGGTGAATTCTAAATAGAACTAGTTGGACTTTGGTAGAGTGCAAAATAAAACATGTTTGAAACTTAAAAACTCAAAGCACTTAATCCAACTTAATTAAAATATATATGTGCAATGTGTGCCCTTACTCTCATACATGTCTAAGTGATGTTCTTATTGATCCGGAGTAGGCTTGCACATACAGTTCTGCTTCTGATATCAAAACTCAAAAGTGAAGAGTATGTAACCTTAATTGAAATTGGTGGTTGAGATTGAGTGGTGGAACAACAATAGTGGAGTGATTGAGTGAATGGTAATAAGTGGATTCTCTATTGTTGTAATATTTACGTCTTGTTTCTCTCTGTAGGATTGAACCACGTTAAATATTGTATTGCGCTTGATTGATTTATGATTGTATCTTCATATATGCTTATTTGATGATATGTTTCTGCTGTGCTTGAATGAAGGGGGAGTTAATTCCCAACAATTGGTATCAGAGCTAGTTGGAGGGAATTAATATTTCTAGGACTTGACAAACGAGTAAACTTGGTCATTAATGTCTGTGGCGACCTTGTGGGCGGGTGTGTGTGAGCGTGTGCAGGGGGCACCAGTAGGCTACCACACTGGGCGAGCTACAGGTGCACAATCCCACATCGTCTGGGTGTGGATGGGGCAAGTGCTATATGTAGATTCAACACCCTTCTATGATACAACGCGTTTTAAAGCCGTGATGGCCGTGAACCCATCAGAACTCTGTAATTAAGCGTGCTTAACTTGGAGTAGTACCAGGATGGGTGACCTCCTGGGAAGTTTCTGGTCTGGGTGAGCCAAAAGCGGACAATATTGTGTCTGGCCAGGGTGAGGGTCGTTACAAATGGTATCAAAGCCTGACCCAGCCGGAAGTGTGGCTAACGAGGACGTTGGGCCCCAAAGGGGGGGTGATTGTGGCGACCTTGTAGGCGGATGTATCGTCTGGGTGTGGATGGGGCAAGTGCTATATGTAGATTCAACACTCTTCTATGACACAACGCGTTTTAAAGCCGTGATGGCTGTGAACCCATCAGAACTCTGTAGTTGAGTGTGCTTAACTTGGAGTAGTACCAGGATGGGTGACCCCCTGGGAAGTCTCTGGTCTGGGTTAGCCAAAAACGGACAATATTGTGTCTGGTCAGGGTAAGGGTCGTTACAATGTCATTAGTGCGAGTTCAAGCCTCATGGCAGAACGGTACAATATCACTTATCCTTTATCTCTTTTGAATAATACTACTAAGAGAGTTTTCTCGTAACAAGAAAAGTGAGTTTTTTATACTCTTTCTCTGTTCCATATTAAATTTCAATTCTAAAAGAATATGACTAAAAAAAATATCAAATGATTCAAAAATAAAAGGTGGTAGTGTGTCAAAGTTTTTCAAATTAATAATTATTATGGGACGGAGATGGCGTTTAATTATTGAATTGAAATATGTATAAATCATTCACTTGACATTTACAAATTTCAAAAAAACAGTTTCAATTTAATGACTAGAAAATGGAATAGAAAATGTTGGTGTTAATATAAATAACCGTGTCCATATAGATTGTAGGGTCCAATCATATTGCATAATCGATGTCCTTACATCATCTAGAGGTGATGCAATCAAAGTACATAAACTAAATCATAATTGGAATGTAGGAAGATTTTCAATCCCTTCAAGTATAGTTAAGATTCTTAGAAAGAACACATATATAGATATATATTTCTAGAGAGAGAGAGCTCTCTCTCACCTCTCTCGATGTTTTCATGTACTTTGTCATACTGAGACCACCCACCAAGCCAAGCCAAATGCCAATGGCAATGAGTCAGACACAATTTAGTACGGTACGTAGACAAGCATTTTGCTCTCACTGGACTGACTGACTGACCACCGGCTGTGACCGGTGACTGATCGTCCAATTGTGTAGACTTCTTAGGCAGAGTACTTTTACGACAGAGGAGAGGTGGTACGTGGTTACCTGCTGTTGTCGGTTTGTCAGTTTCTACATTGCTGATTTGCTGCCTTCGCATTGTGGGCAATTTTGCTTTACCTTTAAACTAATGTTGTGCTGTGTCCCTTGGCTTTATTCCCTCTTGGGGCTAACCTAACCTCTCTCTTTAAGCAAAGAAATTGATACTTGGGATAACGAGACAACCAAACAATATCATCCCTTTCTCTCTCTATATGTATATCTGTATTTGCGTAAGTCCTGATCCTCTACTGTAACATTTTTTTAACGAGTTTTGATACATCAACCAACATCTCTATAGTATGAGATGAGTCCCACCATAGTATGAGGTGGGACTCACCTCCACAGAGAAAGTCTACAATTTCATGAAGGTATCTTACTCCAGTGCCTCTTAGTTATTAGATTATTTATCATGTGAGTTTCATCAACATATTCAACAATTGAGAATTTCGGAAGTATTGTTACTCGGGGTATTGTAGATTTTCACCGGCCATGCCTTGCAGTCATTTGTTTTAGAGTTTCCACTTCACATTTATTTTTAAACCATTTATTTTACATTTGAACACATAAAAAGATAAATTGAAACACGAAATAATGTGTTGAAAATAGATACTATTGCTTTAAAAAATTCTACAACACTAGGCATAACGGAGGATCTGAGCGTGTATTTATATATGTGTGTGTATATAATATATACGTATATGTGTGTGTGTGTTTTTTTCCTCTCTAAAAGGAATCGGGTGGTGCTGGATGTAGGGGTAAGAGGAGCCAAGCTTTCTCTAAAGAGGCACTCATAAGATCTTCTTAAGGAAGAAAAGCATAGTCAAGGTCCAAAGCAATTCTCTCTCTCTCTCTCTCTCTCACACACACACACACACACACTTGGTTCAGATAGGAAGCAAATTCAAAAACAATTACTTTAACAGTCACTTTTCTATTATTCACATCTCTTTATCTAATGTCTATGTTGATTGTAAAGTGAGTACTGTGTCCCAATAATGTTACCATTATATCAATGCATGCCATGCCACAATGAAAATATGGACAGCGGACCATTTTGTTGTCATCCCAAATTTCGTACCAACTATTAACATAAACTGTTCATCTGTCAGTCTAAAAGGAGTGAAGTGTTCCAATTCCTATTAAAATAATAATAATACTAATAATAATTTCATGATAAAATTTTTGTAAGTACAATGGTAAGTAGTTGCTGTAATTATTGATATATCATACAAGCTTAACAAAAATGCATTGGATAAACAATCCCCCTAATGAGTTATTTAACCATTTTTCATCTAAAATCTTTGAATCAAAATCCTCTCCATCAACTTTTCTAGGTGGTTCCCGCAGTTTCAAATTTCATCACTTTTGTTGCGCAGTCGAACGAGTCCCGTATTAATTCGTTTTCACCTAATTAATGGGTTAATCTTTTAGTTTTGATACCCCCAATCTAACAAGTGAATTATATCAATGGCATGCCATGTCATGCCACAATGAATGCCCATTGGTTTGTGAAGATTGATAGAGATTTGGGATTTATATGGGGCAAATGTTATTCTACCTAATGAGTTAATTTTTTAATTTGGATATTTCAATCTAAGTCACACAATTCTTTTCAACAGATATCGCTCTCACGCTCCGAACGTGCTTTCGCTCTTACACTTCTCACGCACTCTCGCTCAAAATCTCACTATTTGTGACCTAATTATGCCGCTCTCCCGCTCGAATTCGCTTTCGCTCCTGCTCTCGCTTTACGTGACGTAACCCCCAACTCAACAAGTGATATCATAGCCAGGTTATTCCCTCTGAACGAGGCTCTCCATGGCTCTTTAGTGGATAGAGCGTCATCGGCCTTGAGATACGGGACTTATTCGATTGCCGAACAACTTCCAATGCTAAATTTTATAAATATTATGAAGAAATTTCACCTTTTTTGTTTTACTCCCCTATAAAAATGATAAAATTTATAATTTAAAACTTAAAAAATGGTGATGATTATGGTGTTGAAATTTATTAAAATGATGAAATTCACCGTTCAAATAGTTAAATTTCAAAATTGTCAAGTTTATGGTGATGAAATTTCAAAGAAAATATGGTAAAACTGCACGGGGAAAAAATATGAGAGAGAATTCGGGTTCCAATCTTTTGGGTAGTCAATTTAAATTATAAGCTCTCTCTCTCACACACACACTAACACAAACAAAAACACACAATGAAGTTTAAAGTTCAAACTCATATTATAAAGGCTAGCATGAAAAGCATACATTATTGTCGAGATTAGACTAGTTTTTAATGTTAGGAATGTTCGTTACGGAAGTAGTATTAGTAGTAATAATATGTACTTTGAAAAGTGATTATAAAGCCAGTATATAGTAAGCTATCATTTTATAAAGTAGATCTAATCTCAGTACTCAAATCTTTCCCCATTTCCAACGTTTAACTACACTTTGATTACATATTCTTTCTTTCTTTGTTTCTTTTATGTTTGTGTTCAAAATAAAAACATTGTTGCTTGCCAATGTAAAAAGAAGAGAAGAGAAGAACATATGACAGTTTCAAACATTACTTAGTTGTAAATGTCATCCGTACCATTGTGTTTACATCAAAGTTTAAGCATTTGAGATTTGTGATTGGTGGGAAACATAAAAGGATAGCTTGCTACATCATGGTGTCTGGTTTTACCTTCTTTCATGTGGGTCAATTTTTTCTTTGGGGTACACACACACACACATGGTAACCATTGGACGAGTAATGATATTTGGTTTATCGGTGAGTAAGAAATTCATTCGTACCATATATGATAAGAGTATTTTCAGTAGTCTGTTAAAATATTCTTTTGTGTAAAATATACACTGTTATATATGATGTGTAATTTTTTTTTTTTATCTCCAGCAATTTGTTCAGATACATTGTCACGTCATTAATATATAAAATTGTTGTGTATTTTACGCAACATTTTTACATAGTCACATCAGTATATTTCTTTTCTCCTCCCTCTTTCTCATTTTATTAAAAAATCAACCCTATATTAAGTAGGTTTGTAAAAGTTATATAGGACCTAACATGACACATAGTTGGTTGTTATTGGGTGATATATTTTTACACCAAAGGTATAAAACAACCGTTTGAATTAAAAATAAAGAAACCAAAATTTTTGTATAAATCTATCATGATACATCAAATTTACACAAAAAAAATATACGTAACAGTTGGAGATGCTCTAATAATGGATGTTTAAAATGTAGTTACCAAAATAACATAACAATCACATCCAACGATTACCATGCATGATTTGGATGAATTTGTTACTCACCGGTGAGCAAAAGATTATTTCTGTATATATATATATTGAGAAAAAGTGGGGAGAAAATCAATGAGAACGTGATGAATTTAAGAGAAAAATAATTAAATTATACTCCTTCCGTTTCAATTTAAGTGTCCTCATTAGGAACTGTGACTCATAAATATGAGTCATAATTTTATTTGTGAGTCACAATTTTCAATAAAGACACTTAAGTTGAGACGGAAGAAGTATTTATTATGATTCTTAACATTAATTCTCAATTTGAATTGAAATGCTACTCACGGATGGCTAGCTTCCTTCCAACCCGCCATTCAAAAGTTCAATTGGATGCTCATGCATTCACAATATTCTCTTTATCACACCTGTGTTACTGCCCATTAGTAATTATAACGTCCTCCCACAATGAGCGTAATTAGAGAACACAACCCAATATATGGAGAAAATATTTTAATGCTCCTCATATATTGTTGATATATTATCGTTAATTGATTAAATATTGATACGTATTTATAGGATATTTAAAGTAAATGTATTTTTATTTATGCGACCAGATATAATTGGATGATACCAAAAAAAAAAAAAAAAAATTAAAAAAAAAGGAAGAAGAAGAATTAAAGCCTATAATATGGAGTATGAAATTAAAGAAAAATATTATATCTTTATGTTATTTTAATCAAGGTTCCAATTTTTTTCTTCTTTGGATAAATAATCCCTTCATAAACTTGAAGCTTCCATCTTGTTAATGCATTTTAAACTAATGATTTCTAGAAATACATTGAATTCACCCAATGCCTTAAAGATAATTTTATAGGTCTAAATGGGCTAGAGTTGAAAGGCCTCGATCACTTTATAATGAATTCCAATATGAAATTTTCTAAAGTACCCCAATATCAACTGGGTCTCTAGAGGTGGACCCAGCCTAACCCCACAGTCCTATCGTACATCCCAAACGAGTCAATCATAAAAGCCCAGTACCCACTTTTAGTTTCTCCCATTCCTGTCCATCTCAAGGATTCTTCACAAAAGAAGCCCAACTGCCTATATAATGCGACCATCCTACAAAAACATCGAATTTGTTAATTTCTTAAAACACCTCATAATCCACCATCAGTACTAGCAATTTCTTCATCCCAAATGTACCGGGCATAGGGGTACAATCTGAGCGTGCCCAACCTGAAATCAGGTCAGGCCAGGTTAGGTTGGCCAGGGTCACTCAACTTGGTCTCTAACAGTAACCCAAACCCTAATATTTTTGGGTGGATATTTTTTATTTTTTTATTTTTTTGAAAACAACACTTATTTTGAGAAAATTTTAAATTTTAATTCATTAATACTTGCCATTTTTTTCGTTAGAATTTCTTTAGCATTGCAACGACAGAACATCTACATATCACTTAATCAAGCATATACCCTTTTCTATGTATTACAACTGATAAAAACATAGGGACACTGGATATTGGATGAGAAGGTAAGATATATATATATATAGTATACATGACTAGACAAGAGCTAATAAAGAACAAGCCTATATTTTGCAAAGTGGTGGACCAGGTTCATTGTTAGGAATAACCAACTAAAATCCCCAATATATAAACATTGCACCACCTCTGTTATATATAATATATATATGAATGTGATTTCCCTGTCATCAATATCAATCAATTAATCAAGTAAAAGTCCACTATCAAAATCCACCATCAGTTTGTTTAGTTTCTTGTTGCTTATCCTCTGTTGGTAGACTTTGCTGTCCTCCGATCTGCAGATAAATAAAGAACCAAAATAAATAAATAAATAAAACTACTTTTGACAGACATCTCAAATATTATAATGACTTGAAAATAAAATGAATAAAAATTACTAAATTATTTTCAAGGTAAAAACCTAAAAGAGGAGAAATTCCATATAAAAACACCTATTAACAATTTTTGTGTAACACTACCCCATGAAATACGATAACGTTGCAAGATATGATAAACTCAACTAGAAATTATGGCCCAAATTTGTCATAAAATTTCCGACAGACTAAAAAATCTAAACACATGAGATAGAAACCGAAACAGAGAAGAAATTAAGAATACCCAATAATCAACTAGAAGACAGAACTAGAGTTCTTTAATACAAAACCAAACCATAACATTTCTATGACCCTTTTTATCTTGTTCAATATCAGTACCAACTGCTGTAAAAAGGTCAAGGACCATATATTCTTAATTTCCAGTCATCAATTATTTCAGGATGTGTTGTTAATTACAATAATAAGCATGATTAAGATGGATTTAAAGACTAGTACCTTATCATTTTCAACTGGCAACTATTGACGGAATGGTTAAGACCTTCAAAACTATAAGCAAATCCTACATAATGCAAATTAGAAGTATGTAAGATTCTACCATTATACACGTATTAAGGGGATAAAGTATTCATTAAAGATTAGAAATGGATTACCTTGTTCAACAAACCTCTAGAGCCTGCCCTTAGCCAATCTTGAGCACAAACCAAACTTTCTACAAATGTAACCTTTACTATAAGATGTCAATAAATTAAGCACCAAAAAGGAGGAAGATATTGAACGTAAGACTTAAATTGTCTGCATCCATACCAAAAACCCCAAGATAGATCTATGGCCTCCACTGTCATCAATAATGAAAACCCAAATTGGAATACTTTTGATCACCATCAAAAGTTCAAAATATCAAATTTCTTGAATAATCATTGGTACCCATATCATCAAAACAGAGCCCAATCAATATTATAAACAACATACATAAAAATTAGTGGAATATGGATCTCAAAAAATTTAAAAATTAAGGAAAAATGAAAAGAGAGAAGAAAAACTAAGGATTTTGACACCACTCACAAGAGTATGGGACTAAAAGATCCTTATGCAAACAAAATATAAATAAATATAATAATAATAAACAAATAAAAGAGATAGTATTGATTGCCAAGCTCCAGAATCTTTTTGTTGGGTTTGCTGCATTAAGCAAGATATTGTCTTCTAAAGTCTTGTAAAATCCTAAAAATTAGGCTTCCTAGAAACAGTGGGCAACAAAATAGAAGGAAAAAAGAAAAGAAAAGAAAATCTATATATTGCCTTACAGAAAATATATAAAAAAGGTCAATTTGAGCCTTTTCAGTCTTATTTTGGAATTCTACACTTGCAGAAAAGTACAGGACAAAAAATTTCAAATTTAACACTTATACCTATTATTCTTTTTATATATCCATTCAATGATTTAATAAATTTCAAAGATTTAATTCTATGCTCTTAGAGATACATTAACATAGGGCTTTTTCCTGTCCAAGAAAATCCAACTGATCAGTGATCACCCAACTATGTCCAATGTTGTCTCCATGCTTGGCAATGAATTTGCACCTCTATGGACACCAAAGCAGCCTGTTTTTTTATTTATTTTTTCATTGGCAAGAAATTCACACACCCGGTGTTCCTACTAGGAATCAAACGCTCACCTTTCCACTTTGGGAGGTAGAAGAGATACCACTAGGCTACATAGTTTTTTTTTTTTGTTAAAATAGGCTACATAGTTTTTGGTAAGCAGCCTGCTTTTTGTACCACTCAAGCTCCGATGAACACACCTAACAAAATCTTATTCATTGGTTTTTACAATTGAAAAGTAGGACTAGTAAGTAATTTTTCCAAGTAAAAAAGGAGGAAAACAAACGAACAGATAACAAGGCCATCTAGTTAATAAGCACACTTCTGCCACTTGCCTCTTAAGTACTTAAAAATCAATTCACCACCATCTCTTTTGAGGATGCCTCTTAAGTACTTAAAAATGGACCATAGTCCATTCACCATCTGATTCTTATGAGCTAGAAGAGAGATTGCTCTAGTCCTGAACATGGTAATGAAAATGCTGACAAATAGACATCACAATACTTATGGTTTTGTCAAGCACTGTTCCCACTAAACAAACTCACACACACAACTCTTGGTTGATGCCTCTGTTTACTTTTCTGTGGGTGTGCTGTGTGTGTTTTCCACCTAAGTTGGTGGAATGAGTGGCATTGGCTGTGAAACATGAGGGGGAAGTAAATGTATGTATCAAACATTTTTTGCTACTATTATTATCTATTTGGAGGTCTCTTCTCCTTCTCATTCCTCTTTATCATCAACATTTTTGTTACTTGAGATCGATCGATCGAGGTATCCAAGATGAGGGAAAGTGAAACCATTACGAGACCATGGTTCTTTCTTTGTGTTTCGGTTCTATTCCTGTCACACAAGTCCTGCTTCTCTACCGGAGGTGACACTCTTCCAATGGGCCATTCTCTCTCAATAAAACAGACCCTGCTGTCTCAAGGTAACATTTTTGAACTCGGTTTCTTTACGAAAGGTCCTTTCCGTGATTCACCTAAAATCTATCTGGGAATATGGTATAAAAATTCTGAGCAGAACAAAGTTTGGGTAGCTAACAGAGAACAGAGGTTGTCTGAACCGTATTCTTCAAAGCTTGAATTCTCTGAATATGGTGATTTAGTCCTGCTCGATGGTAATTATTATATTAAAATTTGGTCAAAAAGTTTTGAGTCACAAATGCCAAATTCCACTGAAGCAGTGCTTCTAGATAATGGAAATTTTGTAGTTAGAAATGTTAAAAAACCATCTATAATATATTGGCAGAGTTTTGATCACCCAACAGATACATTGTTACCTGGTGCAAAGTTGGGCATCGATAAACTCACTAACAAAACTCGGGTCCTAACTTCGTGGAAAAATTCAAGAGATCCTGCTCCTGGTAGGTTTTCATTCAGGATAGATCCAATTGTAGAAAATCATTATTTTATGGAGTGGAACAACTCCAAAAGGTATTGGAGCAGCGGAGTTTGGAATGGTCATATTTTTAGCTCTGTTCCTGAATGGATATCAAATTATTCCTTCAATTACACTTTCATATCAAATGAAAACGAAAGCTATCTTACATTTTCTATTGTGGATTCTTCTTCTGTTTTAATGAGATGTCTGATGGATATGTCGGGACAACTGCGGATTCTAGGATTGTTCCCTGGCAATTGGGATTGGGAGCAACCCCTCCAAACAAAAGTTTATGCTTTTTGCGGGACATTTGGGATATTGAGAGGGAATGTGACCTCCTATTGTGAATGTTTGCCAGGCTTTGAGCCATTCTCAATTGAAGACACAAAGCTAAATGATTGGTCAGGTGGTTGTGTGAGAAAGACCCCATTGCAGTGCCAAAATGGTTCTTATACCAATGGGTTGACTGATGGATTTTTAAAAATTTCAGATATAAAATTGCCCGAAAATTCAAAAATATATTCTGAAAAGAGCCTTAAATGGTGTAAATCAGCTTGCATGCAACATTGTTCTTGCATGGCTTGTGCATATAATAGTAGTGGGTGTTTAGTATGGGAAGGGGATTTACTGAATCTACAACAACTCTCGAATGGAAGCAACACAAAACAAGATCTCTATCTCAAACTAGCTGCTTCTGAGCTTCCAAAAGCTGGAGGTATGTCGCTGCAATTACAATAAATAAAAGTAACTTATACCTAACAATTAATTGTGATTAACCATGATTCTAGTATACTCGTTTCAGGTGACAGGAGGAAGAACTTTAGGGTGATCATAATACTGCCGGTTTCGCTAGCAGTACTTCTTATTTTTGGTGGCCTCATATGCTGTTTAATCATGAGAAAGCTCAAACAAATGGGTATAAGCTGTAGCCATACAACTTTCAGCCCATATTCAAAGAAATCATACATTATGGATTTAAATTAATTAGGAAATGAAAACACAACTCTTTCAAGAACAAAATTTAAGCAACCATAAATTAGAATTGACTTGGACCAAGTGTGTTCCACAAATTGTCACCGTTAGGTGCCTAATATCTTTCAGAAAAGTGTGACTTCCATATAATTAATGATGGCTTCTTGTTTTGTGATAAACAGGGGAGGAAGATTCAACTGAGGACTTACTAATATTTGATTTTAGTGCTAGTGCTATTGCAACTGCTAAGACAAACACTGGAAGTAATCTTGGGAGAAGTGAGAAGAAGAATGTTGAGTTGCCATTGTTTAGCTTTGCGAGTGTCTCTGCTGCAACGGGCAACTTCTCCACAGAAAACATACTAGGAGAGGGAGGGTTTGGACCTGTTTATAAGGTAACGTTGAAGATGTAAACTGAAGCGATTTACTTAAGAACCAATGAGAATTTTGGAACCCTCCAAATTTAAGACTAAAGATTATTCATTTAACAAATAGTGCAACTCTGTTTTTGATTTTAAACCTGTTCTTTAGTGATATGATTTGGCCTCCCTGAAAGGATGGCTTTAGGGGTGGGCATTTTATCCGCCAATCCGCGAGTCCGATCCGATTCGATATGTGTGGATCGAATCGGATTCTTAGACCCACGAATCGGTAGTGGATAATATGAAATCCATAGTTCACGAATCTGATTACGGATTGGGCTGTTAAAAATCTGATCCGATCCGATCTGATCCGTGAAATTTATATGCTCCATATATTCTATGAATGTATTAGTTAATGATCTTTTAAATTAGAATTAGTTAATGATCATTTAATGAATGGCCTCTACGAATGTATTAGTTAATGATCATTTAAATATATGAATTAATGTTGATAAATTGAAATTTAATTTATTGGGCCATAGTTAAAAAATAACAATACTGAGCTATTTGGGAAAACCCTAATCCGTGAATTGGATCCGTTTTTCCATGGATCTGATCCTTTATCCCACGGATCGGTGGCGGATTCAGATTTTCCCAATTTGTTGGGACTGGATCGGATTAGGATTGATGCCTAATCCGATCCGATCCGTGGCCAACCCTAGATGGCTTCCTCATTAGCACTTACTGAATATTCTTCATTGTTGTTATTATTTAGTTAACGTGTCAGGTAACCATATGGAGATTTTTTTTCCCTTTTATTTTTTAAACAGGGTATAATACTTAATGGACAAGAAATAGCAGTGAAAAGGCTTTCCAAGAGATCTGGACAAGGGTTCCAGGAGTTTAGAAATGAGGCAGTATTGATAGCCAAACTACAGCATCGGAATCTTGTTAGATTATTGGGTTACTGCATTAAGCGTGATGAAAACATATTGATCTATGAGTATATGCCCAATAAAAGTTTGGATTTCTTCCTGTTTGGTTAGTGTATGTTCTCCCATATTTATTCATATTTTTAGTTATTGTTCTCTTTTATGCCAACCTTGGATTAAAGTGTTCAATGCATTTTTATTAATGTGAACTCAAGACAGATCCAGACAAAAAAAGGATGTTGGATTGGAGGACACGTGTTCGCATCATTGAAGGGATTGCTCAAGGACTGCTTTATCTGCATCAATATTCAAGGGTTCGAATAATTCATAGAGATTTAAAGGCTAGCAACATTTTATTGGATAGCGAAATGAATCCTAAAATATCAGATTTTGGCATGGCAAGAATATTTGGTGGAAATGAGTCCCAAGCAAACACAGAACGGATTGTTGGAACTTAGTAAGTAGAAACAAAAACCTTTGCTAACAAATACACACCTTATATACTATACATTGAAGAAAGATTTATCGCAAGATACTAAATCTGATTTTATTGTATTTTAAAATTTAGTGGGTATATGTCTCCTGAATACGCAATGGAAGGCATTTTCTCGATAAAATCTGACGTGTTTAGCTTTGGAGTATTGCTGCTTGAGATTGTGAGTGGCAAGAAGAACATTGGTTTTTATCATAGTGACTCTCTTCACCTCCTTGGATATGTAAGCAGCTAACATACTTTCCTTTTCTTTTTGTTTAAAATTCTTCTATCAAGCAAAATTGATGATTTAAGATTAAATGATTAAATGTTTCAGCTAACAGACAAATGGTATAATTAAATGTTTCAGGCATGGGATTTGTGGAGTGCTAATAGAGGGATGGAGTTGATGGACCCAATATTGGGTAGTCCTTCTTCTACCTCTACATCGTTAAGATACATTAACATTGGACTTCTTTGTGTGCAAGGAAATCCAAATGATCGACCTACTATGTCTGATGTTGTGTTAATGCTTAGCAATGAATATGCACCTTTACCAACACCTAAGGAACCTGCATTTTTTACGGGCCGGCGTGTGATGAATACAAATCCGTCATTTAGTAATGCTAGAAACCGTTCAGTAAATACTGTAACACTTTCGGTGATCGAGCCCAGATAACAATTTCATACTACAAGACATTTTGTTTTAAACTGAAATTCTGAATTCTTTGAATTTACTCTTAGATTTGATATACTTTGTTTGGTCTATGCTTTGATTTTTATTTATTTTTTGGGGTGATATACTGATTCTTTTAACTAGCTATACACTATTAGTTTCTGGAGAAACTTTCTCCCATTCCTTTCCCTCACACTATTAGTTTCTGGAGAAACTTTCTCCCATTCCTTTCCCTCTCAAGGATGCTTCACAAAAGAAGACCAACTGACCAAGTAATGCTATACCATCCTATATGGTCTGAAGTGCACCTAGTACGTAAACATTGTTCATTTAAGACTGTCCATGTGGGCCATGTTAAAACTTGTTGCCACAAGGGGCGGACCATTAGTCTTGGGCCTTTCTTTGTAGTGAGCTTGAGAAAAAAAATATAAGTTGCCGAGGAAGACTATTTGGCGATCCATGGCTCCAACTAGGGTGGCTTTCTTTGTTTGGACCGCTGTTTGGGGAAAGATTCTGACAATTGATAACTTGAGGAAAAGGGGCAATTGTATTGTTAATTGGTGTTGTCTATGCAAGAAAGATGGGGAGTCAGTTGATCACCTCCTTATGCATTGCCCTGTGGCGAACAACTGTTGGAATCTTATTCTTGGGTTGTTTGGCATGTGTTGGGTAATGCCACGATCTACTAAGGAATTGATTCATATTTGGAGAGGATGTCATGTGAGAAGGGATGTACGCGACTTCTGGAGAATTGTCCCACATTGTGTCTGGTGGTGCATTTGGAAGGAGAGAAATAGTAGAAGGGAAAGAGTCGTCTACGGCAATGGTGAAAGTTCACATTCTTCGTTCTCTTTTCAATTATGTGAAGAGGAGCTCTTGTTCCTCTTCTGATGCTTTAATTATTTTTTTGGATTCTTTGGGGCCTTAGCCCCGGTTCCACTTTTGTATAAGGGATGCGTTCCCCTTTTGAACGCCTTTTTATGTTATTATTACTTATCAAAAATATATGTATATAAGTTGCCCCTCAACCCAAGTCCATAGAGTATTTTAATGCCTCCCAACCCAATCCTGTAAAATATTTTAACTTGGTCCCTTTAATCTGGTTGAAACAAAACCCAAATCCAAATAGAAAATAAAGCCTATTATAATATATTAATATGTACATATATCAAGAGATAATTTGCACCAAATGCTCTAGTCTAGTGTACTTTCTCGTATTCCAAAGTAAAAGGTCGAGAGTTTAAGTCCCACTAAGACAAGTGATTGTGTGAGTGCGTTTTTGCCAAGGAAAATAAAAAAGAAAAAATATATAATTTACAATCACCCGAAGGTGTTTGGGTCTGGGTCTTCAACGAGAGTGTTGCGGGAGAGGGTGACGGATGGGGAGGGTCTTGTGCTTATAAGAGTGTGAAGGCAATAGGGGAGCAATTCCAAAAATATTGAAACTGAACAGAATAGTAAGAAGTAGTGGAATCGAACTGCAATGATTAGTTTGGCTCAGTTCTACAGTTATAAACTTTCCTCTGGATATATATATATAAATATACATGTATATATAAATATATAACAATAAGATGAAAAACCAAAATGTAATCAATGGTTCTCCATTAATTTTTCAAATCTATATCTTGTAATCCATTAATTTTGGTATTCTGTGGGTTCTTAAATTTTAGTTAACAGACAGTAATTAATAAGGAGACACCACTCACAAGAGAATGGAAGCTAAAGAGACGAAGTGGCAGACAAGCAGACAAATTCATGTGGCAATTTTTTCAGTAAATGGTCTAACAAATTGTTTCCAGAACCAGAACTATTTCCTTATTGATTTGTTTTCTTATTTATGAATTATATTTGAATGCTATATGACTTCTCTAAAAAAAATTTCCTCGAAAAGTTGATTATCCTTGCTGAAAACTTTAAATTTAGCGATGACCTCTTTTCTTTTTTTGGTAAATTAATATTTACTAAACGAAGGAAAAAAAAACATTGTTGTTCAATGCAGTAGGGTTTAACAAGTAGACTTTTGAGAAGGTTAAAAAATGAAAATTACATATTTGTTGGTTATTATCCTTCTTTCTCTCTCATCTTCCCCCAATTTTGAGCGGATAGAAAAATATACAACGAAGAGGAATGAAGCATCCCTCCTTTCTTCCTCTCTCTCTTCCCTTCTCTCCAACCAAAGTTACCAAACACGAAAAAGTTCTTTTATCCTCCTCTCACCCAACCTTGCCTCGCTCAATCCTTCCCACCAACCAAACATACCATTAGTTTTATTAATTTTTAAGCCTTTTGATTCTAGTGTTGTTCTCCAAGCCTCTAGTTTTATTGCTAAGACTTCTTTACATCCATACAATGTTACTATGTCATCCGCAAATAGGATGCACCATGAAAGTCAGCCTTGCAAGTCTTTTGTTATTTCATTCAAGATTATCTAAATATGGACCGAGCGCCAACTCTTGGTGATCCTACTCTAATATGAAAATCATTAGTCTTCCTGTTAGGAATTATGTCTCAAATTCTATTGTAATCAGGTTTCTATTTTAAAGTGTAATTTATATGGTAATTTCTTGAAAGGCAAGTCTTGGTCTCTAAAATTGTAATCCTTGTGCAACAAGGAATTGGGTTTATAGATACCTAGTTTTTTGTTGGGAGCTATGAGTTGGGAGAGATGTAGCCTCGTAAGGGGTGGAGTTGATGGGTAGAGGTGTAATTACACGTTGGGTAGAGTGAACACTGATGGCGAGGGAAAGTCTTGTGGAGTACACGGATAACTCAGTCAAGAGTTTGTGTGCAAGGTCCGGAGTTGGAAATTCTCTACTGTTGTAATATCTCAACATATATGGAATCTCCTTTCATCCGTGGATGTAGTCCTGATTTTGGTGAACCACGTAAATCTTGTGTTTGTTGTGTGATTACTTTATTTCTTCTTTGTTGTTACACTTCCGCTGCCCCAACAAGTAGTATCAAAGCAATTGGGCTCCAATAAGTGGTATCAAAGCCTATGGTTCAACTTTGGGACATTCTAACCTTATGTTCGAAGAAGATCTATAAAACACAGGGAGTCTCAACAGAGTTTGCAACGGGCTTCAGTTGCAGTTTGAGTCAATCAACAGACTTGTTTGATCACGATTATAAGAAAATCGTGATTGGTTACATGGCATAGAGCTCGAATAGTCAAGGTGGAGCCTAAGGGGTTTGACGGATTGAGCAACATACAACGGGACAATCAAAGTTGGTGCAAGATTCAAGTCGTATAAATTGTCTGATTCAATTGCCATTAAAAGCGATGATTGATGTGATAGAATTTGAGCCAAGGTGAAGATTGTTAGGAATTATGTCTCAAATTCTATTGTAATCAGGTTTCTATTTTAAAGTGTGATATTGTGGCCCGAATTTGGTCAACGCGACCCGCTTATAACCCAACGATAGGAAAAAAATTTGACCCATTTTTTGCTCATGGGTCGTGGACCCTAATTAGTCTCTTGTAGCCCAATATATAAGGGCGCTTAGGGTTTGGAGTGGTGTAAGAGAGAGATTTTGAAATTCGTACAGAAACAGTCAGAGGAGCTGAAAACTTGTACTCTCCGATTTGACATGGTGAAAACTTTCATCGGATCCCAACTGTGAACGTAGGTTGTTGCCGAACCACGTATAAATTTTGTGTGGCGTGTTTACTGTCGTGATTCTTGATTCAACTTAGGTTTGTTGCGTTAGTCATAACAAACTGGTATCAGAGTTTTCAGTTTGAAGCAGAAATGTCGTCCAAGTTTCTAGAAATCGAAAAGTTTAACGTTAAAAAGTTTGATGGACATCTGGGTTATAAGTATGTTGCTGGGCTTGGCCAGTTTCTCGCAAACCCAATTCCAATGGGTTAAGAGGTGCTACCTCTAAAGAATCAACTGAGGTCAGTATTGGGCCTCTTAAATTCACACGGGCCTTGAACAGACAGGACGCTAGTAGTGGAAGAGGGAGGTCAGTTCTACGAGGGCCCAATAATACTTTAACCATTTCCTTGGTCCACCCAACGTCATCCACACAATCTGATTCTACAAGGTCAGAAGGAACTTTTGGCAAAGTGAATGATCCTCCTTCATCTCAGACGACATCAAAGTTAATGAAAGTTCAGACACACTCCAGATCTGAAGGTAGACAGTGGTCTACGACGGAGAAGTTTAACTGGGTAAGGGTTATTGATAAAGTTGCTGGTCTAGGAAGAAGAAAGAGGTCATTCCGGCATGATATGAGTTGTCAGAAAGTCGTGTCTGACAATCCGTTCGGACCTCTTACTAAAGAGTTAGAGATTTCCGACGCCTCTCGCCACACTACATCTTCACAAAAATGACAAGAAAAGAAACGACACAGAAGTCGTTTGTCACGCTTCGACAAACAGAAGTGGATAGCCGTTACTATTGATCCGGGTAAGTCCTCTGCAACTCAACCTCAGAGCTCTCTTCTAGCTCCTTCTTCTTCTACTCCTTCTTGCGAGGTGTTGAGGAGTGGTGTCGGGATGGAGAAGGGAGGAGAGTAGTCAGTTTTGCCAATGATTCCGGAAATTGAGTCGGAGTTGTGTTCGGAGGTGTCGGATGAATATGGGTCTTTTCTTTCCGGGTCTTTTCTTTCCGGATGAATATGAGTATGTGTGGGACGTGACCTTCATTTCCGGGTGCATGAGGAGTTGGTGGCGGCTTTGCTTAAGGATCTTCGTCTTTGTGTACCCCCTAAAGATCTCCATTGCTTGCTAACAGAAGGATTAGGGGAGTCCATCTCTTATAGGAACACATACTTCAGGTCAGAGTCGAATGATTATGGGAGAGGTGATTCGGATGAGAAGGATGATTCTCCGGCATCCATCCAACCAGTATGTTCTAATGTCCTTGTTCCATGGTCGGAGATGGATCAATCTAATCTGGGTCTGGTGGAACCTTTGGCTGTCCTACTACCCGACGAATCAGATAACAATCCGGATGAGGGGAAGGATTGGGTAGCTAAAAATATTAGTGTTACTAGCGAAGCACTGACGAGATGCAAGATTCAATCCATGTTATCCATCGATCCCCAAACCCCATTTGTTGTTTGCAGATGATACCTTGGTTTTCTATGATACCTTGGTTTCTGTGATGCTGATGTTTCCCAACTCAGGTATTTGAGGTGCATTCTTACATGCTTCCAAGTAGTGTCTGATCTTAAGATTAATGTTGAAAAGAGTGTGCTTGTCCCAGTGGGAGAGGTTTCTAATATTTCTTCTTTAGCTGCTGTTCTTGGGTGTGGAGTGGGTGCTTTTCCACTCCCTTATCTGGGATTACCTTTGGGAATCTCCTCCAGTAGAGTGGGGACTTGGGATCCGGTGATTAACAGGTATGTAAAAAGATTAGCGGGATGGAAAAAACAGTATCTTTCGAAAGGGGGGAAGGTCACTCTTATTAAGAGCACCCTCTTGTCCCTTCCCACATATTTCTTATCTCTATTTCAAATCCCGTGCTCTATTGCTGAACGAATTGAAAAAATTTAGAGAGATTTTCTTTGGGTGGAAAAGGAGAGGAGTTTAAGTATCATCTTGTTAATTGGGAACAGGTTTGCAAACCGATGAAGTTTGGCGGGTTAGGTATCCGGAAGCTGGTCCCTTTTAATAAAGCCTTATTGGGGAAGTGGTTATGGAGGTTTGGTAAAGAGTGTCATCGACAATGGAGAAGAGTTATCTCGTGTTGTTTTGGGGAGGAGAGTGGAGGTTGGTCCTCTCGTCCTGTTTCTATTACTGGGGGCGTTGGCGTTTGGAAGTTCATTCGGAAAGGTTGGGATGTGTTTTCCACCCATATTCGGTTCAAGGTTCGTAATGGTATGTATGTTAGATTCTGGGAAGACTTATGGTGTGGT